GATAAGTAAGATGAAGCGCCCATAAAATCCTCTTGAACCACAGAAGTCGCTCTCTTGTGTGAAGGTACGATTTTCTGTTGCTGTAACTTGATACGCTTGGCAGGAGTGGGATCAGATTCTGTTGATTTCCTGTCCCTATCGGCGATTCTCCAGGGGCAAACACGAAGGTAGGCCTTAAAATCCTCATCTTTTAGTGAATTACACTTGCCACATCGTTTGTTCCAGTTACATGGTCCAATACAGTCACTGCAAGACGAGTGAGGGTCGAGGGATGAATAATTCGACAAGAAAGAGAATGATCATTCAAGGTAGTCACTTGGGCAGTTAGTGGAGCATGCTGCAAGCTTTATTAGGAACTAGGAAGCTAATTAAGGAGAGCAGCATGGAGTGCACGGGCGAATGGACAAGGAGGCCTATGGAAAAAAGTTTACAGTTGTTCCACTAAAAGTCGAAGCAAGAGAGAGATGTGCAAGTCGTGAGATAGGATAAGTTTAAAAATTACATTTTTCACTGGACATGCAGGATGTCTCCTTTCAGTTTTTTTTGTAGTGGACGAGAAAACATCCTATCCCTGAAGGACAATCCCAGGCATCCTAGCCCATCACTGGGTTTGTGAAGAACAAGTTATAAGCCTTTTGACTCATTTAAAGCACAATGTCACACTTTTTCGACAATATTTTGGCCTATTATATATATAGGGGCATATGCACTCACTTTATCTTCCTATTGATGCAATAAAAGACTTATTATCCCTTTTGACTTGCCTAAAATTGATAATTGAAACTTCAAGTCAAACAGAAAACACTTGCCATGTATGGAATGTAAACAATTGCTCCGTCCATCGAAAACTGTCGCACGCGGTGTTGTCAGTGTTTTCCAAACTGGTTTCAATCACACGTGCGTATGATATTCATAAAGAGCACTCCAAGGGACAAACCTCTATGGGGTTCGCTTGAAATAATGTTTGGCCAGTAGAGGGCGCAAGAGTCGATTTAATGCATTAATTCAATCAAACTTTTTAATTTAATATTGTAATCTAAATATGTAAAAGATTTTTGGAATAAATTATATGGTATTTTCCCTGAGGGCTGATAGTAAACTTAGTATTATTGAGAGGAATGTGGTGTGCCTTTAATGTACCTCCTACATCCCCTAGAAACTTTACGGACAGAAATGGTCATGGTCACACAGAATGAACACATATGAAAAGCTTGGGTGAGCAATAATTGAAGCATTTATAGTTTCATTTCAGCTAAAATCGTGTATGGAACACAACTCAAGTAAGTCCTGAAATGTCAACGTACTCTTAAAAATTATTGACTTTGAATATCATTCATTTCCTGCCCTGTCATATCATGAAATGAGTGATTTTATTCATGGAAACTCCATAATCTTTTTCCAATTCCATGGGACTGAATGACTTTGAACATTCAGGTCAAAAAGTGTGTACATATGTCCAGACAAGCTTGTGTAAACATTATTACAGAAACCAAATTTGGCAAAAGTTTATTTCTACATAATAACCCTGGGGTGGGTAATAATTTCAAAACTTCCTTGATGAAGGTCAAGAGAAACTTTATTGTCAGAGCGTGACACTGACTAATACTTTCTGCAAATTGTGTTTTCAGTGAACTCGTTAGAACTTTCCTGTGTAGCAACTAGCGTAGCACTTCATTCTGAAATTGTACTGCATAAGGCAAGTGTTTTTAAAAAGTGGAAGTGATGTCATTAAACTATCAGTGATCTTAATTAGGACAGCTTCAGGCATAAGACTATTTGTAGAGATATAAAATTAAGACAGAATTTGGATAGATCAGCTGTTACCTGGTTTGCCGACATATATAGATATAACATATGATATATTTGATGACTTTCTAAAAGGCAATGTGTATTCAAATTACAAAACAAAAATAATTACTTTTTACATTTTCAGTCAAATCTATTTCGTTCCAATACATACAAAATGATGGTAAAGAGTGATTGAGAATGGTTTTACGCCGCTTTACACCTGCTGAATCTGGTACATCGGCTGCAAAAACGCACATTAAATGAACAAGCGAGGCAATTGATAAATACTGAGTGAGTGAGTAAGGTTTTGCGCCCCTTTAAGCAATATTCCAGCAAAATCACAGCAGGGGACACCAGAATGGGCTTCACACATTTGTATCCGTGTGGGAAATCGAACCTGGGTTTCCAGTTTGAAAGATTAAGAGAATTATGTTTGAGAGGGGCTGCTTCAACCACCTTTCCAAGTTTCCAATATTAAGGTGAGGTGAGGTGAAATTAGGTTTAACGTCGTGCTTGAGAATATTTTGCTCATATGACGACGGTCCAATATTAAGGCTGTACATTAAAAGCCCAGATGAACTAAAGTAACGGATAATGACGAAACAAACGACAGAGTGAATGAGTAGTCAAGAATATTTATTCAAACATGGATCTTAAATCTGACACACAGTTATTGTGAATAACCAACTATCATGATCTAGAAGCCTGTGGTTCCTAACACCTCGAATTAAAACATTATTTTTACCACTGACTTAACCAACCTCTGTACACATGATATGCCAAATGCACTATATGATATACTGTAGTACATGAGATCTACTAGTCACCATAATATACATCACAACAAACACCTATTGCTTATCCAAAATTAGTTCAAATAAAAATGTTTCGCATGAAACATTTCACGAGTGAAGGTTGAATCTGGACTAAAATGAATACCTGCCCTGAAGCAGTGGTCAGTCAAACTTTCAAATTAACTCAGCCTTTTTCATGTCACATCAAATAGTGGACCCATTATAGGACACTGCGGTAACAACCCCTGAATTCTTGTTCTATTTGACAGCTTAGGATGTCTGTAGTAAAGTGCTGTAAAAAATTTTAAAAAAGGCGAAAAAGAAAAACCCTAATATTCAAAATATATTACCTGGTGAGCTAATTAATTTCCTGTGCAGTGATGTTAAGTGTATAAGATTATTGTACTGATACAGCGAAAAGCATGCACTATTATTTTCCTATACTACACTGGATTAATGCCAGTAGATAATGCCAGCCCACTGAGATACCATCCAAAAGGTGAACATCATTACCTCTCTCAGACATTATCCCTGAATGCACCAGGTAAGGTGGCATCATTACTGTCTTCTGGTACGAAGTGTGGATGGAACCACCCACCTTCCACGTTGACTCACTGTTCAGGGAGGCAGTGAGGGAAGCCAGTGAACAGTTATTTTAGGTACAACTGACTGACTGAGTTTGGTTTTACGCCGCTTTTAGCAATATTCCAGCAACATCACGGCGGTATTTTAGCTACAAACAAAATGAGACCTTAAGGTTTGTTTGCCAATTGTACCTCACCAAACAATTGATCCCACAACTGCTTCCTACAAACATCAAACCCTGGGGAGCCAGTCTGAAATGTATGTAATTCAGGCTCCCCTGCGAGCTTTAAAAATCACAAATTCAGATGCATGGTCGGCCCATTAATATTGCACTATGAGGTTTTGTGCTTTTAGCGACATGGACTGTTTGTTAAATTTTGTAAGAAAAGTAACCTACTTTGAAAAATATAAAAGGTACACCCAATACTGTCTATTTTAAAAGAAGCAAACATGTTTCATAAGCCAGATCATTGAGTTTTCAAAATATTCTGCATGGAATCGTTATGTCTGACAAAATGTCTGACAGTGAAAGTTCAATTCAAGTTGTTACTGCACACTGACAACTTTCAATCATACAACTTGACAATACATAACAGATATTTGCAAGACATTAATAACCTGAGATCAAGATATTGTTTAAAACTAAATATTGTCTTCAAGATAAGCATAATAACTTTTGTGATTTCTGATATAATGTCAGCTGATCAAAAAGAATTCAAGGCAACAACTACAGTTGTGATTTTGATGAATAAACAGTTCATTGTTCAAAACAGTACAATGTCTTCCTTTTCAACAAAATGCCAATGACCTTTACTTATAGACTGGCAGAATGGGTAGTCAAGGTGCACTAACTTGCCAAGAATTTCAGAGGTAGGCAAATGTTGACCTCTTACAAAGCACTACATACAAAACAAAGTTATCTTCTCCCATGTTTGATTGTTCTCAGAGCAGTCATGACTTCTAAACAGACAACCAATATCCCCAACTTGCAGGGATACATCACTAAATACACCTTAACAGGATGAACTACCCCACTGATAGAAGGCACATCCTACACTGGGAAATAATGCTAAAACAAATAAAATACTGCCAATTCATAAATGCCAAAATTAACCCATTTCTTCCCATTTTCCTTCCTGCTGGAGTTGTACCACTCCCAATTAAACATGAGAATTGTCATTCACACATTAAGCTGTCTCTGTATAATATGAAGGGTTTGATATTAACACTACACCAGACATTGTTGTCCTCTGGTGAAGTGAGTTCCTCATGACTATAAACACATGACCAAAATGATTATTTTCACTGAAAACACTTAAGTCAAGCTACATAACAAAGCCTTCAGCAACTGGGCTCTTGCTGAGCATCTACAGCCTATTTACATATGTTCAAATGTTACACCTTTAAAATCATGTTGTCCATCAAATATACACGTACGTCTGGGTTTTTTGTACAGTTTTTAGCCAACATTTTGCACAAAGATTTCTACTCTTTTCAAAACCTGTAATGAATTTGACCATGTTGACAGGAAGTTACAAAAACATTCTAACATTTTTTTAAAGCAATGTTGTAAGTTGTTACACAACCATATTTCTAAAACCAGGGCTAACTTCTAGACACCACATACACAGACAATAAACAGGTAACTCCTTATCCTAATTCGAACACCTCAGTAAGTTGAACTTTGGATTAGTAAGTATTTCAGTGATGTCCAGGCATGTGAGCATAAAGTGCAAGGAGAACCCCACGATGACAACCTCTGCTGCAACTCGTGAGAAAAGAGGTAAAAGTCGTTTTGGGTCAGGTACATCAAATTAGGGTTGGCCTTAAAAATGGAAACACACATACTTTTATTGTTTGGTCTTTGCAAATAACGAGGATCATTAAGTACATAGAGATACACATTTGTATGACAATTACAGCTCACAAAAGAAATACTCATCCCTTGCCGTTTTGAAAGTACCCCCAGGCAAGTCAATGTTATATTTCCAACTGTTTCCTAGAAATCACTTTGTCAGTATCCATGTCTTTTATTTTGCATGCTAAGTCAAATATTAAATTCAAAACATGAGAGAAGGGAACCTGTGATTTTTTGTGCCAATATTTACAATGTCATGAAAGTTATATACAAATGCAGTAAAAGTACACAGCAGGAAGTACAGAATGTCAAATGCAAAATATAGCATGAAAATATCCAAACTGTTCATGAAAATGAGAATAAAACTCTGCATTGACAACTAGTTGATGCCATTAGACGTCATACACGGAACATCATTTTCAACAGTTAAGTGTTGCTTTGGGTAAGACGGGTTTAATGCCACTTGGGTCTGTTTTACAAATAAATAGTATCATTTCATAAGCCACAAGACCTGGAAGAGTGAGTGACTAAACGAGTTTAGTTTTACGCAGCTTTAAGCAATATTCCAGCAATATCACGGCAGGAGACAATAGAAATGGGCTTCACACATTGTACCCATGTGGGGAATCGAACCCGGGTCTTCGGTGTGACGAGCAAACGCTTTAACCACTAGGCTACCCCACTGCCCCAGAGCCGGAAGAAACACACTAGCCATGGACTATAGGCAAACATTCATTAATTACAATTGTTGGATCATGATCTTGCGAATGAGAGTTTGTACTTGCATGACCTATTCCCGGGACAGGAGTGAGTACTTTCAACAGTAATCTAATTGCATCACTGGGGGCCATCTTAATGAAGGAGGAAAGCCCAAAGTTAATGAGGTCTTAGATGTTTGCTCCTTCGTCAAACCCACAATCATGGGTACGGTGTTAACAAACCTAGAAACGTTACGACAAGCTACGATTCGAACCCACAATCATAGGTTTCTGGCGTGGCCAAGGAATGTAACTCTGCACAGCGAAGCAAACACCTAAGACATCTGACCCATGCCGAGAAGCAGAGAAAACAAGACATACATCTACAAAGCATTATTCTTCAACATCAATATTGGAGTGAGTGAGTATGGTTTTATGCCACTTTTAGCAATATTCTAGCAATATCACGGCGGGACACCAGAAATGGGCTTCACACATTGTACCCATGTGGGGAATCGAACCCATGTCTTTGGTGTGACGAGCCAACGCTTTAACCACTAGGCTACCCCACCGCCCCATATGAATATTGGAACCAGGTCAACGTGTTGTCAACAGCAACTTGGAACCAATCATGAAGCTTTGTGAAGCAAAATGTATTTGTTCTGCCGAAATTTACTTTGCATTTTGAAAACCAATAATAATACCACCCAAAACAAGTAGGACCACAGCTTCTTAAACAACACTAAAGCTAATCTGTCATGGCACATAGTAAAAAGAAAGAACTGGGTAGCAATCAACCTCTTACAGAGTATATCTTGGAAGAGGGTGAGAGCAGATGACTACAGAGTAGCACAATGGGGTGGAGGCTGGCAATATGGACGTTCTCATCAAATGCATGAATAAACAGCAAGCATATGCTCAAAATGAAGTAAATACACCAAGAACAACTAGCACAGTTCTTTTCCATTACCACAAGCTGAATCACAATGGGTATAAGGAATATATTGTTGACTGTATTCCTAGTCAGAGTCCACAAAGGAGGTGGAAGAGTGGTGGTCTTGTCTGTGTTTCCTGTTGTACTGAGCTGCAGGGAGACTGGGAACAGAAGAAGCATATGAATGTACACTGGGGAGGGCAGACAGGACCTCAGTCAATCGCTCTGATGGCTCCTTCACGGATCAAGTGGATCATCACTGGAGGAGCCACACTGTCGTACAAAATTTCTTGGGTGTCTGTATGTGTGTGTGTGGTGACTCGAAACCTGTATTCGTGCCAGTCCTTATTTCACGAAGACTGATCACTAATCACTTTTCCGTATTATCTTGAAATGTCATTCAAGTACAAAGTTTGCAGATGGACCCGCTGAAGAAGTACACCGACAGCACCAAGACTTGATACAAGTCAAATAACTGTCAGAATCTGTAGCTCGTGAAATCTCCTCTAAACTCTGTTGTCGTCCTCAAGTTGATTACTGATGTTCTACACAGATAATTCAGTTTGTACATGTGACTCCTCCTCCACACTCATCGGTCCATCAGAAGGCGAAAACCTGAGAATGTGGTATAAATAGATATCTCAACTGTACACTGTTGTGCGGACTCCTGTGAAAACTATACAGAGGCCACTGCTGTTGTCGTGGGCACCACGACGTTGCCAGGCATCACATAGTCGCCAATCATGAACTGCTGACTTACAGGGTAGTGTGCCATCCCACCGCTGATCACGTTCTGAAAAAGCAAAGAACAGTTTACTCACTTTTCAATTAATTCAGTAGTAAAGGTTCATGAAGCTATACCACTCAACTATTGATAGGGATACTTACCACTTACATGTATGTATACCAGCTTGTTGTCGAGTTACACTAATATCCTTATCAAAAGTTTGCATTGTGAAAAAATTAAAATGGAACACGATGATAATAATATTGTAACATGTGCATACAATTCACTTACATACTGATGTACGAAGTGGTTGAGCCTGGTTTGAAGCCTGTTTCAACATGAATGCAGTTTGATGAGGTTAGACAAGCCCAACTGACTGAGTGACTGAGTTTAGGCGGGGAACACCAGAAATGGGCTTCACACATTGTACCCATGTGGGGAATCGAACCCGGGTCTTCAGCGTGACGAGTCAACGCTTTAACCACTAGGCTACCCCACCCCCCCTTAGACAAGCCCCAAGTGATGCTTTATGCTTGTTTTGTACAACAGCACTATGTTAACTGCTCTGGGGAATCTACGTTTAGGCTATAGTAACAAGGAACCCAGAAACATGGCCTTAGCACAATGGAATTTGAACCCTGGATCTTGTGATTCTGCTGTGCAAGACAATTCTTGACAAGAGAGGTAATACTTATACCAATAAATGTTAAATTATATGGAATCAGGTCATGGACAGAAGAAAACTGCTTGGTTTGCCAATCAAATGTCATGGAATCACTTGCAGTTTATTCAATATGGACTATCCTAGACAGTAGTTGGGTTTAGAAATGTCTATGTCCTTATTAATATTTATTAGAAACATTCTCAGAAATTAGCTGCATATAATTTCAGTTTTGATAAAAAGCAATCTCATTAAAATATATTCTCTGAGCTCACTGGTCACACAAAGGTCTGAGTACGACATCCTGTTACGTGATATCTAGGAATGACTTTTTGCAAAGTTTTACCCACTATCAGAATTATTAAGACCAATAAATCAGAAAACCGCTTTCTCCAGCATTTCAGAAGGAGTTTCAAAATGGCAACTATCAGACCCACCAGACAAAGCTTTGAAATATTCTGTGATCAGTGACTTGGGTTTTTACGCTGCTTTTAGCAATATTTCAGCAATATCATGGCTTGGGTCACCAGAAATGGGCTTCACACATTCTATCCAAATGGGGAATCGAACCCGGGTATTCGACGTGACGAGCAAACGCTTTAACCGCTGGGCTACCTCATCGCCATTATTTTTGTGACGAAGTTCTCAATTAAAAATTGTATAAAGTGGAATGTCTAATAGATAGCAAGATTTCCCACCGGCTTCATAAAGCCTTTCTGGTTCAAATGTGAGAAATACACAAGGATATTGAACCAGTCATACAGCTTTTAACTGTCATTCGGAACACCTCATGTTAATCATTCTGACATTCATTAGATAACACATTCGGATATTAACTTTCAAGATCTTGCATACAATGTTGTGATTAGTCAAACATCATTTCATCATGATCTGTAATGGGATGACCACAGAGGTTTGGGAAACGGTAGCGAGCACCAATATTTGATTTTGATCATTGGACTACTACTGTTGTACAGTCAAAGCCAAAGCAGAAACAGACACATTAAGTTCTGTGCAACTAGTCTACAGCTCAATTTATACCACTGATTATGTTACATGAGTGAGTTTATTTTTACGCCGCCCTCAGCAATATTCCAGCTATATGCCAGTGGTCTGTAAATAATCGTGTCTGGACCAGACAATCCAGTGATCAACAGCATGAGCATTGATCTACGCAATTGGGATACGATGACATATGTCGACCCAGTCAGTGAGCCTGACCACCCAATCCTGTTAGTCGCATCTTACGACAAGCATGGGTTACTGAAGATCAATTCTAACCCGGATCTTCACGGGTTGATTATGTTGCACAACAACAGATATTTGTTGTTAAACGCTGCACTCAATTATCCCTAAAAACATGACAGCAGTTTGTAAATAACCTGTCTTGACCAGACGAACCAGTGATGGACACCACAAGCAAGCCCCATGCCTTCAGGGTACAATGACACCAAATGAACTTGCCCCACCACCTCTATCATACAGAGGCCTAAACTACAAGCATAGGTTGCTGAGAACCTCTAACCTAGAATTCCCACTCAAACACATACATACAAATATTTCGACACAGCTATATATACAAATGTTTGATGCTTTCATGAGAAGCACTGGGTGAGCGAAGCGAATGCGGTTTTACGTCAATTTTAGCTGAAATTACAGCTATATCAAGGCAAGGGACACCAGAAATGGGCTTCATACAGTGTTCCTATGTTGGAATTGAAGCCTTGTTGGTTTCAACCAAAAGGCTACCCTACTGTCCTGACAAGCAACTGAGAGATGATTATACATGCGTTTCGAACATCAATTGATAAAATGGCTTGAATCAGCGACCTTGCATCACTGAGTAATAGATATTTCAGCAATAAGGGAATCAAAAGCATGGCCCTCATTCATCAGCTTTAGTCTCAATGTGGAACGCTAATGTTGTGAACTATCAATTTGCTGTCTCTGATATATCATACATGTAATTAATTCATAACAAAAAAAACCTCAACAATCATAATTAGGAAGAGGGCAAAAGATACTGTGTAAGTTGATCTAAAAATCAAAATAATAACGCCATACTTCTTAATGGGAGGCATCTCTGGTAGCGGCATCCAAGCCTTCGAAGTTAATGTTCTGCCAGGCGTGTGTGGCACTCATTACAAGCAGCATACAGCAGCCGCGGTTTCAAACACCAGCCATACAACCACACTCACTTTCAGCTTGTTACATGAAGATCAAGTGATCAAGTGACCACCATACTGCTTGAAGTATATTGTCTGGAACACCGTTTTCTGCCCCAAACATTTGAACAACCTTTCGTAACTCCCAAACATTTGAACAACCTTTCGTAACTACTGACTCGCTCTCAGTGCAACCCTGATCCACAATGAGCTTAGTGCACCGGGTACGGTAACATTAACATGTAAGCATGTTTCAACCAAATGTAAATTAACTAAAAAAGCCAACAAATACCACAAAGTAGTACACCAGGAAAAAAACAGAAACCAATCTACTCAGCAGAGAACTACAACTGAGAATAACTTCCATGCAATTAGTCACGTACGCAAGAAGCAAAGCCAAACCAAACCAAACTGGGAACAGAAATGAGAGTATGTCATGCAAATGGATAAACGACTACAAGAGCTTGGAGCTATTGATCTTTACTACCACTAGGCCTACCTGAGAGTTTGTGAAGTTGATTGGACTTATACCACCACCAATGGATGTCCGGTGTGCGTTAGAATTCGACACTTGGCTCCCTACGCTTGGAATACTGCCAGGGTTGATAGGGGCAACGACATTCGCTAGAAAAAAAATTTACCATAAAATAACTCCTTTACAATTTTCCCCTTGAAAACATATTGTAGAATTTCTGCCCATTTATTTATGCATAAGATGAAAGAGTTAACCCTTTGACGGAGTTATAACAATAAGCTAGATGACAACCTTGACCAGAACTTCATGGAACAAGTGCAATATTATTTGACAATTCTACTGACAAAAGCAACAGACAAGGAGACCTGACACAACATGGTGTTTTACCGCTTGAATCCTTCCAATACATATTTCTACTGAAACAATTTTCCAAGTTTAGATTTTGTTCTTCACAAAAACAAGACCACAAACTTAGGAATAACAATTCTATCCCACAATCCAATGTGTGTGTTCATACCTATACCAGTAGCCAACAATAGCCAACATGAGTACTTTTTTGGTACAAAATATCAACCATCTGAGACTGTAGGTAAAACTATAGGAAGTGCCATTAAATGACAAATAGTTCCTACACCACACAATGAAGAACAAGCTGCAGAAAGTCCATGGGCAGCCTTTGATCCTGATTTGTACTGTTCAAGGTTTGATTCATTGTGCTATAACAGGGTGCTCTCATAAAACTATAGCTGAGAGCTTGTGGTCTTTTCACAATATTGCAAAAAGGACAGTTTGTAACGTCATGTGAGAAAAATCCTCAAGAAAAGAATAAAGAAAAATGACATTAAAGGCTTATCGTGTGCTCTCATTGGGAAATGTTCCACATGTATTACAGTATGCAACGTGTTTGTCAAGCTGGTGTTTGTTTATTTGAGTTTGACATTCACATTTCAGGAATTCAATTTTGGGGATTTAAAATGGAGTTTTCAGATTTTATTTTTGCCTATATATAATTCTATCCAAGTTTGGTTCATCTACAAACCATTTCTTAAAAAAAGCAGAGTTGTCATGTCTGGAGCCGACGAACCACTGATGGATAACAAACATAAGCAGAATGACACAGGGATTATCATCTTCCGGTCACCCATGTGATCTCTGGAGCTGACGAACCAGTACCAGCCCATACCATAACCCAGTAACACTATGTCAAAGTGTTTTGTCTTCACATGCCCAAGAACTGTTCACACTCCACTGGGATCACCTGATTTCTAATTTACCTAGACCAACAAGGACCAACATGGCATACTGGCAACCTCATAAGCAACGAATCTACGTGTAAACACTGCTAATTTCTCACCTTTACACAAATAACAGGAATGAATTACCTTATCCATGCCTGATAGTCAGAACCCTGAAGTTCCACACATAAATCAGGATGTCCAGGGCTAACTAGTGATCTTAGCACTACCACCATCTTAAGTCTACTCCATCTGAAGTCAACACCATCTTGGAGTAACAGATCATCATAGTATGTTGGCCCAGGACTCCATTCAAGAAAGCGATCTTGACACACTATTGCAGGCCAATGTAAACATGCGAGTGAGACAGTAAGAGGGCTTCTGTTATAACATGCTGTGTCAGTTTAATTGCTAGGAAAAGTCACTCCGGCTTTGGATATTTAGGTTAAACCACTAGTATCAGAATGGTGCCCAAAACTTTGGAACCTAATCGAACCAAGTCTTAAACTCCAAATCATATATTTCTGGCACTTTAAAGATGAGACTCAACAAGAGTCTTTTAAGAGATGTGACTTCCCAATTTAATATACAGAGTATTGCGAAAAGTATTCGGACACTTAACATAACTTCCATAGACTTACATGTTAATTTAGTGTAGCATAAATAATTTTCATGAATTAAATTTTCGTAAGATCTAAGTCAAATTTTACACATTTGTGAGGAATCATTTTATCTACAATAACATAATTTCTGTTTAATTTGCCATTGCATATTTATCGAATGGCAACAATTTTAATCAACATATGTACAGTGCCATGCACTCCTTTAACATGGCGGCCTTAGGGATTGTGCATTGTGGAACCATACATAAGTTGATAAAAGTGATGTCATTAGTTAAATTGTGGTCGGAAAACTGAACTGAAATTATGTGTGCAGAGCAGAGATGATTTCAAATTTGACAAAGATCCATCCTAAACTCACTTCATGAATATTATTTATGCTACACTGAAATAACATGTAAGTCTGGAAATTACGTCAAGTGTCCGAATACTTTTTGCACGGGTCTGTATGTGTCGTGTCTGAGTGCTGAGATCGCTTTGATGAGCACGAGCCCGACAAACTTCCACCAACCATTACTTCATGCCTCTTCATTGTGAAACCTGCCCTAATGCAATCGACAATATCGACAATATCTTCAACCCACACCACACACTGCCAAGAAGAGGAATGCGAGTGATCGTGCACGTAAACCTCTTGAGCAAAACATAATCACTTTCACAAGAACATAATAAAACAGTATGCTGTAATCACTGACAGAGACAACAGCATACATTACTTACATACTGCTATAAGATTGGTCTGTACAGCTCCACCCTGCTGGGGCAGGGTCTGGCCCTGGTCCACAACACCATTCATCAAGCCGTTCATGTACGTCGAGGTCTGACCTGCAACAAACACCACGTTCAACCATGTAGTCATAGATTCAACAGGAAATAATCAAGGCTTGGAGCTTTAGGCTGTGGCATTACAGCAATGTTAAAGTCCTACCACAGATATTCACAGTAGCAGTTTGCAGACAGGAAACATGGCAGTCAATTTTTCAGCTGTGGCATTACAACAATGTTAAAGTCCTTCCACAGATATTCTCACTAGCAGTGTGCAGACAGGAAACTTGGAGAGTCAATTTTGCTCCAACAAATGGGTCAAGCCCAGCGTGTCACTTCCCTACATTCCATACATGCTTAATCTGCAAAAGCATGTCCTCCATAAATACAAATCAGATGAGTAAAACATTCCTAAAAGTTCAGTGGATTAACTGTTTTCAAAAACCAATTAACTTATATTTGTAACTTAACACTAACTCAGCAATATTCCAACTGTATGAATATCTATAAATGATCACAGACTATCCAGCATTTAATACTGTGAACAAACATCCCAACCATCCTGTTACAATTTCACAGCATCAACCAAGTCACCAACCCTGACTACCGGATGCACTTGGTTGCATCTCACAACAAGCATGGGTAGATGGGGACCAAGTATGACCAGAACTATCTGATGGCAGCCAGTAGTGAGTGAGGAGTTTAGTTTTACGCTGCACTCAGCAATATTCCAGCTATATGGCTGCCGTCTGTAAATAATCGAGTCTGGACCAGACAATCCAGTGATCAACAGCATGAGCATTGATCTGCACAATTGGGAACCAATGACATGTGGCAACCAAGTCAAGGAGCCTGACCCCCCGATCCCGTTAGTCACCTCTTACGACAAGCATGGGTTACTGAAGATCAATACTCTAACCCAGACCTTAACAGGTCGATGGCAGCCAGTAAATAACCAAGGCTGAAAGAGTTACTGGTGTTTGAGATTGTCAGCATGAGGTGAGGTGAGGTGAGGTGAAATTGGGTTTAACGTCGTGCTTGAGAATATTTTGCTCATATGACGACGTGCATGCATATGTGTATGTGTGGCTGCTTGTACTAGCCCAGACTAAAGCCGGTTTTATAGTGCTGGCCAACTGAGATACCATGTCGCAGTGAAGCATGAATACCCCACTCAGACACATTATACTGACTCCGAGCCGACCAGTCCTTGTTGTACCCATTAATGCCGAGCGCCAGGCAGGGACCAACAAGTACCTTATTTTAACGTCTTTTGGTATGACGCGGTCGGGGATCGAACCCACGACCGTCCGCTCTCCAGGCGGACGCTCTAACCACTACACCATGGAGGCGGTCTGTCAGCATGAAGCCACACTTTCGTGGAACACCTGACTCCCAGACAGACCATCATGCCTTGAAAGACAGGCACAGGTTGCTTGGGACCACTTCTAACCTGGTGTCCCCAACAAGAATCTGTAGAAAGTGTGGGAGGTGGTTTAGGCATACTCACCTGTAGCAAGTACACATCTGTAGTGAATGCACACCTGTAGCAGATACAATGACACCAGAAAGAGTACTCACCTGCTGATAGAGTTTTCCAGGTCATATCTCTGGCAGAGGATGAGCTACGGCCGAAGGCGGACGAGGCGAACTCACCTGTAGCGAGTGTATTCCAGTACACATCTGTGGCAGATGCGGAGTTGCAGCCTGGTGGAGGCTGTGGTGGCTGACCAGTGTAGCGGAAGAATGGATTCTTTAAATCTAGCGTGTTGGTAGACTTGCTTGAAGTCCCCGGTATGTTTAGTTCAATATCAACATCATAACTTTGCCTGAAACACAAACAGCAAGTTTGATAAATCAAAGGAATTTATATTCCACCTAGTAGGGACAATCAGGGATTCAAAGCCACAAGCACAGGTTCATGTTTTTTCAAAGGATCTAACTCTGCTCTGTCAATTGAAGTGCCTCAGGCCACAGAATTCCTGGTTTATATTCAATTTTGGGACATAGGAATATGATATGCTTGCCTCAATGCTTTGCTCACTTTAGCGAACTTATAACTTTGAGAATCCTCTATGCTGATTGGCTGAATAAAGGCATCTTCAGATCTCCATTCAGAGAGGTACTTGCGAGTAATAATCTCAATTTTACAAATATTGCACAGATAAGGTGTATGATCAGTCTCACCTGGTATTGCATGTGAGTGTCACCTTCCCCGTGAGGGTTTGCCCCTGCTTGACTAGGACGGGGGACTGCACCAGACACCGTACCTGATACCAGTGAGTCAGAGGTTCGGTTGGAGATGTCGACAGCCACACAGTATTCCTGCAAGGAAAGGACAAAATTATTATTTCAAACCATAAAGCAGCACTAAGTTCAACTAAGCTCATACTATGATCAGTGTTCACATTCAAGAATGACTAGCCACTGTACCATCTCAGTTGACATCAAACTGAAGTGTTCAAGCAATATCACAGTGGGGAACACCAGAAAAGAGCCTCACAAATTGTACCCATGTGGTGAATATCTTAGACGGTAGGCTACCGAACTGCCCATTAGGTGTTAAACATGCACTGGCACTATAGACCGTTTGGCTCAAAAGCGGACCGATGAATTGCAATCTAACTAGAAAACTCATAAACATATAATACTCAATGAAACGCTGATCATAATCAAAACATCATACCAACTCCGTGAGGTTTTTGCAGAATTTTTGTCCTAAAAATAAAAAACTTGTTTAACAATCTATCATTAAAATATTGACACAGTTCACTATTTGTTACGAAGGAGGAGTGCAGAGAAAGGGACAGCCAGGTGTTCGAGAACGGATGGAGACGGCACAGCACAGGTTAATGAATAAATAACTTTGTCTGTGAACGTGCTTCTCGAACACCTGGCTGTCCCTTTCTCTGCATTCCTCCCTCGTAACAAACAGTGAACTGTGTCAATATTTTAATGATAGCTTGTTAAACAACTTTATTATTTTTAGGACAGAAATTCTGCAAAATCCTCAGAGTTGGTATGATGTTTTGATTATGATCAGCGTTTCATTGAGTATGTTATGTTTATTAGTTTTCGAGTGAGATTGCAATTCATCGGTCCGCTTTTGAGCCAAACAGACTGTAACTTGACTAAGGTGACATAATCCCCCGCCGCAAATTATCAAATCAAACATAAAAAGTAATGAAAGTTTAAGATGAAGTTAAATGTCAACAAAAACATGACCAGTCAACCTCTCTTGATATCTTGCTCTTTAGTTGTTCAAACACACAAATATTTTTAAGACTGACTTTGACCTTGACATGAATGTCATAGTGTATGAAATATGCAAAAAATGGTACTAAAGAAATTGCTTATTGAACATCATTCAAGGTCTTGAAAGTCCAGTGAATTCAGGTTAACATGCTGAAATCTTCAAAGTGTCACAGTGACCTTGAAAATTATGTGAAGGTGGCCAAATATGACTGGGCCCTGCGCCTTCCCTTGATAAAGCTTGGTGTTGAACATGAAGAAAATCTAATGAACGGTTCTTGAGATATCTCGCTGACAAGAGTAAAACGTTAAAGTCCCCTTGTGACCTTGCAATGAAGGTCAAGGTCACCAAACCTGACTGGGACCTTTCTTATACTGTGGTGAACCTAGGTACCAAATATGAAAAGAATCTAATCAACGGTTCTTCATCCTCGATAATCTCCATGGTATATGTTACAATCACTCTCCACTATACACTGAATGCATCCACTGCTTGGCCCTATGATTTTATTACCTCTCTTGGCTGGCTTTTTATCCAATCAGGTGTCTACGCTGGGAAGTTGAGCGAACCAATCACAACTCACTTTCGCTTCTTAAATTATCTAACCGTTTAAACTTGGCAACACAATTGATGCAGAGGGTACTCTGAAAGATGTGGAAGTTCTTTTATATATTTTTGATAGTTTCAGATCTGTCAATTTGTCTGTATTTTTCTCCAAAATCTGAGTGGTACTGCTTGAACAAACATTCGCAACTCGACAGCTATCTTTGTTGACACTGGCAAGCTTTCGGATGTAACAGCGCATTAGCTGATTGGCTACTGTGAGAATGCTGAGCCAGCAAAGGGAGGTAATATAATTATCGGGCCAAGCCGTGGATGCATCCAGGGTATGGTGGAGAGATCGTAATAACGATATACCCTGGAGATTATTGAGGATGACGGTTCTTAAGATATTCTAATTGGACGGACGGAGCCTAATACTATATAATAAGTGAGTGAGTAAGGTTTTGCGCCCTTTAAGCAATATTCCAGCAATATCACGGCAGGGGACGCTTAGAAATAGACGTCACACATTGTACCTATGTGGGGAATCAAACCCGGGTCTTCAGCGTCACAAGCGGACACTTAACCATTAGGCTATCCCACCAGCAAGTGGGTTAAGTTCCAAACTTAAGGGGCACATTTTATTACGGACCTAATGCTAACATCAGAGTTGTAAGAAAGTCTCTACATTAGAATACCATAGCAGCTGAGATCCCTACTGAGTAACTACTGGGCTATCGGATACATAAACAGACACTTAAAAGTGTTGTGTACTCACTCGGAGCCAAAGAAGGCGACATCAAACCAGAAGGCCAATCCATGGACCATCCCAGTGGACATCATGCTGAAAGTCACTGGAATCTCCATCACGTGAAGGTCGTTCTCGTCTGCCGTCTGGAAGTCCACAACGTACTTGTTGGACTTGGCCATGCATATATGGATGTCAAAAGTATCCTGGAACAGTTACATGATGTCTCAGTAATCAACCACTTCATCTTAGGAAAATCATGGTGTTTGAAGGTGAAATGTCAAAGTGAGTGAGCTTTTAGCAATATTTCAGCAATATCAAGGCGGGGAACACCAGAAATGGGCTTCACACATTGTACCCATGTGGGGATTAGAACCCTGGTCTTCGGCATGATGAGCGAACACTTTAACCACTAGGCTACCCCACCGCCCCAAATGTCAAAAAGAACAGCAGCAAATATATATACAGGGTTTTACATAGCTCTTCAAATCTGGAAGTCCAGGGGACTCAGGGCATATGTTTTTGAGAGTCCATTTCCAAAATTTGGAGTCCATCAATTTGCATGAAATCAATGATCATGGATGCTTCCCATTTCATAATGATTATGCTATAATATGTGTTAGTTTCAGTGTCATTAGAATAATGATTTTAAACAGAATGTATATATTTTAATATGGGATATTGTTACAAATTCATGAAGTTCTTTCCCAGAAGAAAATTATATTGCGTCCACATGGACGCTCATGATTTTAGTTTAGGGGTACATCATCAAATTTCTGCGTCTAATACGCAGTAATCACGCGTCCCGTAAAACCCTGTATATAGATAGCTGACATTTCAGATATACTTACAACAATAGGCTGCTTAAAATATTCTTCTACAGAAGCATTTCGTAAACTTGTAAGGTTCACGCCATGGAATGACTCTTGATACCTGAAGCAGAATACAAAGTGTAAAAATATAACTCGTTTCATGTTCAATTCTGTGTCCCTCATTAACACTTCTTATAATGGCATAACACTTTACTTTGTAAGAGCAAGTGAAAAAGTGTAAGTGTAAGTGAAAAAACGTGCCCCAAGCTTACATGTCTCTAACATACAATATCCCAGTTTGAAATTTAGAAACAAATGACTCAGAGTTGTGATTCACCAACAGAAAGGTAGAGAATATGAACTTATGTAATGAAAGTCCTCTTTCAGGACACAAATCACATCACATTGATATGATCAGACTACGTATCTCCTTGCAATCACCAATATGAAAATCATTCACCTACCAGAAATTCGCCTTGGAATACTGTTCCATGTATAGTGATTCGTCTGTGAATGGTGCTATATGCAGGTCCCCTTGTGACGGGTACATTTTTCCTGAAAACAACCCATCAAATATTAAAAGGTGTTCATCTGGACGCAAAAAAAGGCGTTAAGTGTTCAAGATATATATTTTATCTGGGTGGGTGGGTGAGCGAGTTTAGTTTTAGCAATAATCCAGCAATATCACGGTGGAGGACACCAGAATGGGCTTAACACATTGTACACATGTGGGAAATCAATCCTGGGTCTTCGGCCTGTCAAGCTAATGCCTCAACCACTAGGCTACCCCCACTGCCCCTTATCTGTATAGATTAATGCAATCCTGTTACATGCCTTTCAGATAAGCATGAGTTTCTGAAGTATAATTCTAACCAGTACCTTCACAGGTCAAGAAAGTTGTCATGTGGTGCTGGCGCTATACAGTACATTACCTCCTGGTCTCAGCCACTTTTTGGCATGCAGAAAGCTCTCCAGCATCCTCTCATTAAACAGCATGTACCCCATGGGCTCAGAGATGATCAGGTCCACCTGCTCCGGCACCTCCACTTCCTCAACTTTGCCAGGGATGACAACTATACGATTGGACAAGTTGTTGGTTGCTACCAGGGTCTGCAAAATTCGCACATTTGTGTCTTGTTTAATTCCTCTCAGCCATCACCCAGGCTATACAAGACAATGCAGTGAAAACATGTCCGGTGATCGATATTGTGAGCACTTATCCACACAGTACAGGTACCATAGAAAGCAACTTGACCAATTCACCGAGAATGAACACCCAGAGTACAGTGAGCGAGCGAGCATTGTGTTGTGCCGCTTTTAGCAATATTCCAGCAATATCACAGAAGAGGACACCTGAAATGGGCTTCACACATTGTGTCCATGTGAGGAATCAAAGCCGGTTCTTCGCCCCCTCCACTGATAAATATGTGATATCAAAGATCTAAAGTAAACATACAAAACATGAAACATGACCAAGTGATAACCACATGTTGTTCACATACTGTATTGTCTGGTGATACATGAGAAACATTCAATGAAATACCCCCTAACACACACCCATCTTTACGTCTAATGTTTGTTGTTCCACGCCGCACACAGCAATATTCCAGCTACATGGCGGCTGTCTTTAAATAACTGATTCTAACCAGACAATCCAGTGATCAACAGCATGCGCATTGATCCACGCAATTGGGATACAATGACCAAGTTAGCGAGCCTGACCACCCAATCCCATTAGTCACCTCAAGTTTGTGTTGAAGACCAATTCTAACCTAGATTTTTCACAAGTTTTAAGTCTTCAGTTCATGTTCATACAACTCTCTAACATGAAAGGTATGACTCTCTCCCCTACCTCACAGTGTTGGGCCATACTGCTGGCTTCAATGGCATACACTTTCTTAGCACCACCCTGGATAGCGAAAAATGACAGAATTCCTGACCCGGCGCCAACATCCAGAATAACCTGTGGAAGAAAGTGACATCATACAGAGTAAAATTGTTCACATGTTTAAAACTGCGAGTTTTTAAACATTAAACCTAAACCTTGCTTTAATGGTGTACAGTTTAACTAAGCATTAAGCCACTTCCCCAGTACTGATCTTGTTATCAGTGAATTACAAGTCATCTTATAAAGCCATGATGTTAGTAATGAGTGAGTGAGTTAAAAATTATCGGCACATCGGCAATATTTCAGCCATATCGTGACGAAGAACAATTAAGTTTATACATAATAATTAATGGTAAATTGTAAAAACCTGTCAACAAAGGACAGTAAAATAACTAGATTATCACAGATGTTAGTAATGAATAAACAGCATGACGTAGATGTTTCATCCAAAGTGGTATTTTACTGACATTTGCTGCAGACTTGGGACTGAATGTAGGCTTCCAGGTAGTATACAATATTGTCCACCGAATTATCTTGATACTCAAGATATCCATTGGACAAGTGATACACTTCACTTTTATATATGTTTACATATATATATACATTACCATGGAAAATTATTACAATCCTGTAATGTAACTACTCAGAATGTTAATCTAATGTTACTGCTAAACTCTGACTTATAAAATCATTTTCTCCAAATGAGCTTGTGAGCTTGTACCTTGTCCTGGAAGTCTGCGATGTTGGCCAGCATGGCTCTCTGGTAGGTGGATGTACGGATGTAGTCCTGCATCATGTTCTGCTGCTGGGACAGGTAGCCATAGAACTGAAACAATCAGACATACAGGTAGCTACAGAACTGAAACAATCAGACACACAGGTAGCCATAGAACTGAAACAATCAGACACACAGGTAGCCATAGAACTGAAACAATCAGACATACAGGTAGCTACAGAACTGAAACAATCAGACATACAGGTAGCTACAGAACTGAATCAGACACAGGTAGCCATAGAACTGAAACAATCAGACATAAAGGTAGCTACAGAACTGAATCAGACACACAGGTAGCTACAGAACTGAAACAATCAGACACACAGGTAGCCATAGAACTGAAACAATCAGACATACAGGTAGCTGTGGAACTAAAACATTCACTCATACGCAGGAAGCCATAAAACTGAAACAATCAGACACACAGGTAGCTACAGAATTGAAACAATCAGACACACAGTTTTGTGTTACCCAAGGCCAGGCCAACCAAACCTCTGACAAAGCACTATCTGACAACTGGTAAGCACACTAAAGAATGGTAAACGTGTAAGCATACAAACACCAGGCTTCCAGCCTCTTTAGTTCAACAACCCTACCTGGAAGTACTGGACAGCTGATGCTTCATCTGTTCTGTCATTAAACACAGACTTGGTCCCGTTCTTGTATTCCTTTAGTTTATGTAGGCAGGCCTTCATTGCTGCAGACAAAAACCATACATTAACACCTGGACACCATTCTGACAGCAGTGACTGGGTTCTACACAATAACTACATGTATACAAGCAGGGAGTACTTAGGCCTTTCCTTTCAGATCAGTTGGTTCACAGCTTAGGTATTATTTTTTTTACTACTCATTAATTGTTTTGTTTTGTTGTAAAATCATAGCCCCACTTTGATTAAAAATACATTCAGATTCTTTTTGGGATTTAATGCAATATGTGACAGGAACACTACTCGATCACTGGTTGTCAATCTCAACGGCACATCGTATTATCAATCTCAACTCCCTGGGGAGTATACCAGGGGTGGAAATAACTTTAAACTTGATAGTGTACTCTGCTACAGTGGCACATGTAAAGTCACTTGCCCTGATAATTTTTCCACTATACCGACCCTTTTCTTGCTGATTTTTTAAATAAACAACATAATTAATATTGGAAAGTCAACTGGACACCAGTACAGTGTGATATACAAATTTGCTTGCCCGACAGAAAAAAACACTGGACTCGGACGTCGGGCAGTGGGTTATTTCCACCCCTGTATACAACTCTTGCAGCCACTAGGCACACTGAGTTATTGTGGCTTTTTCATCCTAACGAGGTATCCATTCACAGCTGGGTGGACTGGGACACATAGTCACAGTACTTTGTCCTTGTTTGCTGCACGTTGCTGTACCCGCAACTAGGTGTTTGCACGTATTCATGTGGCCACCATCTGGTCATATACCAACGGATTCGTGGGTTCTTTTAAGTGCACAGGGTTGTGTAATGTACACAAGGGTTTGTGACAACATTGAAACAGTCTGCACTTAGTTGACTCCAAAGTTTTTACACCCGGTCACAGGTGGGCTCAATCCCGACTTCTCAACCTCACTGGATCACTAGCCTGGCGCCTTTGCCAGCTCGCCCACCGGGCCCCCACATGTTAAAACTGAGGGCCAGAAGCACACTACTAGCAGGGAAGGCAAGATGTCTAAATACATGGAACTACTTCGCCAATAACCCAAAGTAGTATTAGACGTCTGAACAATCTGATGACCCTGAATATGCATGCTGATGACCCTAACACTAATATTCTTTCTGTTGAGTGTCTGCTCTTCCAAAATAATACACGAAAACTCTGAATCAACAAAGTAAATTTTCTTTTTTTAAAGTACACAATCTTAGAGTTATTATTAACAATCATAGCTAAAATGGATAGAATTATCATAAAAATTTCTGCTATCAGAAATAAGTGGGCCACTGTAACCTGATAATGCCCCCAAATTACTTGACGACAGGCCATTATCATGCCGGTTGTTAGGTGACGTCATAAGGAGCTCAGCTCTTGATGTTCACCTACGGCTCGTTTGAACTTGGGTTGAATATTTACGATATTTCTGACTCACATTCATCACATGTACCTGTGCCATTATGCACTTTCTTGCCGGTGTCAACCTTAACAATTGTAACATAAATCACAACATGCAGCAAAGAAAACATCGACTGGAACTCTATCCTCTTGAGCATTGAAAAAAATGGTGCCTGGTAGTATGGGCAAAGGTCAAGGTCGAATGTTGTCACTCTCAATAGTGACATCAGCTGCTTTGTTCCATGACGTTTTCCATATTTGTAAAAGGTATGTCAGTGACCTCCATCGTTTGTTGTTAGCAGTAAATGCTTCAAAACAGATACCGTTGTTTGTTCTTATTTTATTAAAAATTCTATCCTTTTTAGCTATAATAATGGTTACGCTATTTTTCAGGGCATTATCATTTGCACTGCAAATTGCAGAAGCCCTCGGTCTTTTCAACTGCACTCCTTCGTCAGGCAGTTAATGAAAGACCTCAGGCTTTCGCAAATGATAATGCCCTGAAAAATAGCTTTACCCTTATTATATCATATCAACTGGTAAATTTTAGCCAGAGACAGTATTTTCCAATGCTACTGGCCCATGTGACCTGTGGATAGATATTCCATCCAGACACTGATCAAGGTGATATTTATTCGGATCAGCTTTGCTATATAAAGCCAAAGTAAATTATCATTAGTGCAGGCATCTTATACTACCAAGTGCAGGTAACATTTTCCACCACAAACGCATGGCAGCAGTTTGACCGGCATTAATATCGCATATTAAATAAGTTTTCTGCTATCGCATTTATTATATGAATCAATTACTGGCAGCAAAGATATGAAGATGAAGCTCTTGAAAAGGCATTTAAGTTTGGTGAACATGTATACCCAGGGGTGGAAATAACCCATTGCCCGACTCCAGTGTTTTTTTCTGTCGGGCAAGCAAATTTGTATATCACACTGTACCGGTGTCCAGTTGACTTTCCAATATTAATTATGTTATTTATTTAAAAAATCAACAAGAAAACGGTCGGTATAGTGGAAAAATGATCAGGGCAAGTGATTTTACATGTGCCACTGTACCGGAGTACACTAGCAATTTTAAAGTTATTTCCATCCCTGATACATGACACCTTTACATATGGATAACAATATGAATATAAAAAGGTTGTTATCCACACAAAAAACCTGTCACATATTCATTAAATAAGACGGTCTTAACGATCATGAACCAGTTATGAAGACCACACCCTGAGCTCACACACTTGTGACATTTCATGGAAGGTCAGGAGGCCAATATGTAAAAGTTCATTTGTAATGGTGGACCAGATGTTAACTAAGCTGAAAAGAAATCGCATTGATGAATGAAAATGTCAGCTATAAAGCAACCACCTGTCAATACATCCTTTCAGACATCAAGTAATGTGATCTTTATTTTGGTGACGGCAAACTTGGCCATGAATATGTCTCACTCTGCTGATAAAGAAAGCCTGCTGCCATTACAGCGACATGATGTTGACAACATGGTGCAGTCAATATGTTGATGGTGCAACCAAATTAACTCAATTGGCTGAATCTGGTGCCTGTAAAGAATAAAACCTTAAAGGCAAAATCGTACAGTGATTTACCATATAAATGCAGCAAGTATGAGAATATGACGCACACAATCCATTATGCAGTACTACTTACCATGTATACTGGAGAATCGGACTAGGAGTGATGTCCCCTCATTAGTGACATTAACGCCCATCTTCCCCAGCCGTGAAAACTCTGTGTCTTTGTTGATGGTCACCGTGGATGCTTCTACTTGGCCTGAAGAGGGATTTACTGATATTACAAATCAGGGGCAGAGTGGTTGCAAGTATAAAAAACTACAACACATCCTGGGATTGAATGGGATGCAGGCTTGGGGTCGAATATTGGCCTTTGAGCAAGTCAACATAAATCCCTGAAATAAAATTCTGTTTTCCTTTTGGCAATTTCACTTATAGTGAAGAGTTACTTATATTATCCCATTGGTTAGATTTGGCCTTCAGCATTACATACTATCATATAGGTGACTAACAGGATCAGGCGATTGATTAGCTTGACTGATACATGCCATAGTATCCCAAAGTGCATAGATTGTGATCACAATCAGTGGATTATCTGTTAAAGATAAAAATATCCACAGACTACCATCATATACCTGGAATATTACTGTACAGCATAGAAGGCCATGCTTAAATACCAGACCATATGCCTGGCATATGCATGGCAAGCAATTTCATACAGAAAAACAATAGTTTTATTTCAAATGGCCCAATATACAAAAATAAAACCTTATTTAAAGCATGCAACAAATGTTTCCTGTGCCTAATTCAAATCAACTAATAATACGTAAAAAGCATTGTTTTTCTATATTGCTATTTCACTTTTATTATCCAATGTCCACATAACACATTTTAGTATGTGATCAGTTACCAAACAGAACCTGTTTTTCTCATTAACATAGACTAAAGAAGCTATTAAATCTAAAATCACGCATTAAATGAAACCACACAACTCTGTTTTAGTATTTATTGTTTTTATACTCTTCTCAGTGACTGATGCAAGGGAGGTAACTCTGATGCTTTGCCTTTCAGGAAGTGTCTGAAAGAGGTTATTTAAATGGGATTTATGTTCTGAATTTATTGGACTTACAAACTTCAATTGATGGATTCCACTGTAAAACATAAAAAGGATATCCCTGAAAAATATTCAATATTTAACATAATAATGTTCTTTCAAATGAAAGAGCTTAATTCCTTGCATGTTTTATCTTCTGAAATATGTAATATCACACACAGGTCTCACTCATGTTTGAGTACGCTAAGACTTTCTTAAACCTTCCCCACCAAAACACACTTGCCAATCTCTTTTCACCATATTCTGAAGCACATACTTCCTTCCAACAAGGACAGTACTCTACAACAAATATATAATTGAGCATGCTCAGAAGAAATTAATGTTTTGAGTGGCAGCCAATTATGAAATAGCAAAAATCGCAGATAAACATGCATCCAGATATAGGACTGCAATAGTCTGTGATCTGGTATATTTGGCAATAAGATGTGTAACAAGCTTTTTCATTATATGCATAACTTTACCAAAATTCTGCACAAAAATTTTCATTAACAAATGGTATATGCCTTCAAACTTCAACGACAAATTGTGAAAAGAGGAAGCAAGCATTGAACTGCTTTTCAAACAAGAGGAGAAAATCAAGGTTTGATGTCCCTGTGGCCTAAATGTGAAAGAAAGAATCTTCTGAAAGAAAACTCTGCTCGTTTTCATGAATGTAAAGCTGTTATGAAATATTTTGTTGTAACAATTAACTCCACCATGAAAATTCGGCTGAATCATCTGAAGTAGTGTCTCCACATAATCCAAACTGATATCGTCTGCATGCCAGTTAGCAATTCCACACTTTTACACACAAAAATATCAGATGTGCCACAGTCACTCTTTTTGAGCATAGGAACTGACCAACAAATCAGTTATACCATTTGAACACTTGAGCTCCCAACACTGCAATACAGATGCCTGGGGCATGAACTATGGTAAACAGGATGGGGCAAGGTTGGTTGTCAGAATATTACAATGAAGAGTTAAATATACAGATCCCAGGAACCATCAAATGATGCAAAATACTGAATATAATTGTGCTATGCATTATCTTCAACATTTCCAGACTGACTGACTGACTGACTGACTGAGTGAGTTTGGTTTTACGCCGCTTTTAGCAATATTCCAGCAACATCACGGCTGGGAACACCAGAAATGGGCTTCACACATTGTGTGGGGATTCGAACCCAGGTCTTCGGCGTGACGAGCCAACGCTTTAACCACTAGGCTACCCCACCGCCCAACATTTCCAGAAGATAATGTACATGGTACAGGCAATAGAACGATCTGAATCAGCTAACTTATTACAAAGATAACACCATATTCACGTGATTAATAAAATGCGTATTATTCCTAAATAAATGACCATGATGAAGATGTACGTGTGGAAACATCTAACATTCAGCCACAGCTGAACGGTGGCTGAATAAACCATTTCTGAAATAATTCAACCGTCATGTTAACATAAGACATATGCGTGAATATTGTGTAATAGCAATATCTGTGTGATCCAAAGTGTCTTTGTTCTGAATGATCCAGTAAAAGATGACAAAGTGGCGCTATTCAAACTTTTTCAGCAATGTTTCATCAGCCCGTGGTACTAGGAAGTACTTACCATTGTAAAATGATAACACTATACTTTCAGTTTGCCGTGATATTTCCATTCGATATGGGACCTCCGATGTGCAGTCGAACTGACCATTTTCGCTCCAAGTCGCGAGGAGCACGTTGTCAAACACAGTCGCCATTTTTGGAATTGAAAAGGAGGCGCGGTAAAATGTCTAAAAATAGCACTACCCGGGTCTAGCTTTAAAAAGTTGACGTGGGAAAAAGAAAACGAACCAACACAAGTTAGTAGATGTTACTTTTTCAAACTGGCATATTTGCACACTACATACGATTTTAAAAATAGCAGACACGCTTATGGGGAAAGTAATTCACGATGAAAGGACAACAAGTAAGAGGGAACTCTTAAGATAAAAATCCATTGAGAAATAGCCTAAAAGGTGAAAACGTTCTTCCATTTGCTTAGTTACCCTTTGTTTACAATGGCTGTATGGCTCCGCGAGTTGTCATGGAAGTACAGCGAAGAGCAAGTGATAGAGTCACTTTAATGTACAAACAGCAATGTTTATTGTCAATAAACCTGGATTTCACGCACCTCACAATCATAGCATATCTATATAAACATGCAAAGCGTATGTAGAGCGCTCCGAAAGGCTTGCATTAGACATGAGAGAAAAACAACAACAACTTATTTGTGGATAAGAACTTTGTTCCAGTTTGATTCGATGTTTCGATAAAGATCCTTCTATCGTTATGAAGCATGAGAGCACGTGATGATGAACTGGAGATTTTACGGACGCTTTCAGACGCGATGGGTTCGCACTCGGAGGGTTCCGCCGTACGGCGAATACTTTTATACATCCAGTAGGGATTATTGTTTGACGCCGCACTCAGCAACCAACATAAGGTCTGCCTGACAGGGATTAACAACAATAATGGATAACAACTGAAGGAAGCTATAACTGTTCTTGAAGGGGGGCTCTGTGTGCAGACTGACAAGATTAATTAGAGGTGAGGTGAAATTGGGTTTTACGTCGTGCTTGAGAATATTTCGCTCATATGACGACGTGGATGCATGTGTATGTGTATGTGCGGCTGCTTGTACTAGCCCAGACTTAAGCTGGTTTTATAGTCCTAGCCCACAAAGATGCCGCAGTGAAGCACGAATACCCCACTCAGGCACATTATACTGACTTCGAGCCGACCAGTCCTTGTTATTAATGCCGGGCGCCAGGCAGGGAACAACAAGTACCATATTTTAACGTATTTTTGGTATGACGCGGTCGGGGATCGAACCTGCGACTTCCGCTCTCCGGGCGGACGCTCTAACCACTACACCACGGAGGTGGTCAGATTAATTAGAACTGATAGCTGGAGTGTCGCGCTGTTTGATCAATTCACTATAGCTGTAGGCCGATGGGGTGAGGTTAATCTGTCACACAGATCCTGAAACACATATTCCCAGTGCAGCCCATGCAAGTCTATAACGTGTGGCAGGTCTAGATTACCAGAGTTTCAGAAAATGAAGAAAGTCTCTGGGCTCCTTTTAATTTTATTTTATTTTAATTTAAAAACCTTTATCTGTAAAATATGTTCATTTCAGAGACTAGATGTTAGTCTAGGGTGAGATATCCTTGGTGTATTTTCATAGACAGATATGTAGTGCTTCTGCCAATTTTCTTTGGGCCACGTCATGGAGATAGTTTAGTGTGGTAGTCTTTTGTATTGTCTCATATATGATACATACCTGCCAACTCTTACGCATTTGGCCTGAGACTCACGCATTTATTACACATGTCACGCTCTCACGACAAAACTGATAAATCTCACACCAAACTGTTCATGCGAAAAATAAAGATCCGTTAAAAGTCACACCAATAGGTGTGAATACATCGTTTTAGGAGACTTTTCTAAGAAGGAATTTGCAATTGTGCGTTGGCTTCAAGGGGACTTCGGGACCCGGCCGGGGGCTGTCGGCATTTGGACCCCGGTGTCTCAAGCGTTTTTCTCTCTTTGGGTCGGATGCTCTGCACATGTTGAACTTGAGTATAATATTGTGGTAGACTGTATGTGTTCTTTTGTTCTGCTGGTAAAGGAAAGTAAGTCAATGACTCTTTATCATTCTGCAACAAGACCAAGATCTAACTTTGCTCAAGCAACACTTCAACCAATAGGAGCGATGGGGGTAGTCTTGTCGTTAAAGCGTTTGATCGTTACACCGCTGAATGGGTTCTATTCCCTGACATGGGTACAATGTGTGAAGCCCATATCTGGTATCCCCGCCGTGATATCGCTGGAATATTGCTATAAGTGGCGTAAAACCATACACTCCTGTCCAGTTCACCGTTGGAACAGAGGAGAATGGCCAAATTTCAATCCCAGTTTTCTGCTGATCGGGATTGATTTCATAATTTATAGAGGGCGAACTCTGAGGGTGCTGACTTGAATATAGGTAGCAGTAGCAGCAGTAGCAGTAGCAGTAGCAGTAGCAGTAGCAGCAGCAGCAGCAGCAGCAGTAGTAGTAGTAGTAGTAAAATGTTTATTAAAGTGTAACACGTGATACAATTCAATGTAAGATAAAAAGTGATCCAGAGACATTCTTTCTTTCAGAAACTGAAACTGCAGGAATCAGGACTTGCGACATGTTATAGACTTCCATGGGCTGTCATATCGATGCTTATGCTGTTGATCACTGGATTGTCTGGACCAGACTCGATTATTTACAGACCGCCATATAGCTGGAATATTGCCGAGTGCGGCGTAAAACTCGCTCGCTCTCACTCACTCACTCACTCCATGGGCTGTATTGGACATATTGGTTTCGTGGTATGTTTGACAGACTGTCACCAAGCCCACATATCATATATTATTTAAACAGACCGCCTCCGTGGTGTAGTAGTTAGAGCGTCCTCCCGGAGAGCGGAAGGTCGCAGGTTCGATCCCCGACCGCGTCATACCAAAAGACGTTAAAATATGGTACTTGTTGGTCCCTGCCTGGCGCTCGGCATTAATGGGTACAACAAGGACTGGTCGGCTCGGAGTCAGTATAATGTGTCTGAGTGGGGTATTCATGCTTCACTGCGGCATGGTATCTCAGTGGGCTAGGACTATAAAACCGGCTTTATTCTGGGCTAGTACAAGCAGCCGCACATACACATACACACGCATGCACGTCGTCATATGAGCGAAATATTCTCAAGCACGACGTTAAACCGAATTTCACCTCACCTCGCCTATTATTTAAACAGGCGCATATCATTTCCGGGGCTTAAACTCATAACGTGGTCCATATTATGTCACAATACATTGTACACAAGTCAGTATTCAGGAATTTATGTAACATCTGTTGCTGTTTATTTCATAGGCAACACGTTGGAATATGGTTGACATGACGAAATGGTTAATATGAACATCGTGTTCTTCATAATACGTATATCATATTATGTGTGTCACTTCTAAATACCATTCAAAGAGTTTAATGTTTAAAAAACCTCTTACAACATGATTTTAAATTACTGAAATAATTTCTATCAGTGTTATATTTACTTGATATTATGGTTTTGTAGTTAAACAAAGGTTTTCAAAAACAAATTGCGTATACCTGACTATTTTGTAACTCGTCCTGTTCTTAACATTCAGATTATTTCATGTCTTACTCCTATTTAAACTGTCTAAATCACATTCTTGATAATTTCATAGAAACGTGAAAAATAATACGTGTTCGAAAATGGTCCTCCTGGCTAATTTTACGAGAGGGCATAAAATATATGGTCTCTCTATTTTACTGCCAATATTTCCACGTTTAAGGAATGTAGCTATTTCGTGTTACGATCCATACTTTTCATCAAACCACATCAACATGGGAGACCATGTGGGTTTGGTGTTTATGCCAGGGGATCAGTTAACGAATTTAAAGTATTCAGAGACATCCGGCAAGTGTAATCTTGGTCCAGGATTAAGATTAGACGAAGAAAATGTTTACGTCACGAAACCTGGAATTCTCAGATACAGGGAACCACATTTGTACTGGATAGACTGCCATCAGAAGAGGGTAAAGATTCAAATAGAACTTTTCCTATCTACAACTAATGTTGTACATGTAGTCAGTGTTTCGAATTTCATTTAAGCTGTATAGTTGTGACGAATTGATATATTCATATCTCGTGGGATTCCTTAGGCTTAGCTTCAGCGATGTATTGGACCATTTTTAATGTCATATATGTGCTTGCAACATTGCATCATGATGTATTCACCTTTCAACATGCCTTCAGACTTTATTCGTCAGGCGTGTTTGGAATGTTACCCTGGTTAGGTGGCACAGACCTTACCTAACGCTTAATCTCTGAATATACTGTATATAATTTTGTTAGTAACAAATAAACCCATTTAAATTGAAAAGGAGCCCTAGTGAGATGGGAGATTCCTGAACCTGAGGAAATCTAGACATGCTTCATTTAGGGCTTTAGCATTGAAGGGAGGGCTAATGAGTCAGTGTAGGAAAGATAGCCCGTCCCAACGTCCGAGACGGGTGAATTTTGTGGAGGACGGGTTAAAAAAATATCTAGTCCGTCCTCATGTCGGGTCAATTTTAGCAAACCAATGACATATATATAATGATTATAACCTTTTTGAATATTTACTGCCGAAGGTGTTTTATTTATATTTGGAGGACAGGCTAGATTTTGGCAGGACTGGTAAAAAATTTGACCTGCCAGTCCTGTGGACAGGCTAGATTTTCTACATCTTTTCTACACTGAATGAGTAGGGGAAATAATGTGGTTCGGGAACTGTGAGACAGACCTTACCTCGTGTGAAGAACGTTGCATATTCTGTGTGTGTATTGTGTATAATTACTTAGGGGTGGGTATTGCAGAGAATCTTCATATTGCGATATATTGCGATGCAGAAGCATATATTGCGATATGTATTGCAATATATTGCAAGGATTATTTTTTTAACAAAAACTACTTATAATCGAGTTAATGCTTGATTATAAAGCAAAACACAACAAAATCACTATGATTGATTAACCTTTTATAAAAAGTTTTAATCATGACAAAATAAAAATGTAAGTAACATTTGGCACTAATGAAACAGGGAAAAGAACAATTAAAAAACGGAAATATCCGAAGATTTCTGAGTGTTACGAAGTTTTTCGAATGCATGTCAAGATACCGGTTTTCGATCAGCGTATCGCAATACGTATCGTTTTCATGTCTGCACCGGTAAATACGGTAAACCGGTTATATTACGCAGCCCTATAATTACTCCAATATTACACAATATAGGAACATGAATATACACTAGCTTTCCTAGATATTGGGTGGTAACGTTCCCCCTCTTTTTCAAATAAATATATTGTTAAAGAGTCACTACTGTAGCATGGAGATAGAGGTTAATGGACAAGTTCAAGAAGGTCAAATGCTTCAAGAATCACGCCAGGATTGTTGAATGTTTGATAGGTATATGTTTGCCAAATAAGGCAACCCCTTTATGTACTGTGATGATTTTAATATTAAATTATATATATATGAGTCTGAGAAAACACAAGGTAGAGAAATAGGAAACATTTGTAGATGATATTGCAACTTTGTCAGTTTGATAACAAATGACGTTGCATTCTCTGGTTGCAGTATGTTGCAGTGAAGGGAGACTCAGTCCTGGGTGTGGTGACGGCCAAAGCTGGAGACATCTTCCGTGTTGACATTGGCAGCAGTGAGCTTGCTTCTCTGTCATACCTCTCATTTGAATTGGCAACCAAGAGAAACAGACCAGATGTTAAGGTAGCCATCTTGGAATATTGGCGGTATACTCAGTATTTTATATTTTTGAAGAAAAAGGCTGTATCATCTGTGTTCCTCAATGTCAAGGGTTCATGACCAGCATCTAAATAATCTCTGTTTTACTGTACGAGTTTCGAACGTAAGGCATTTGCATTAGTGATAGACATAAACATATGACACTCCGAGTGAATAGATAGGAGAAATATGTGATGGTTGTGAATATGAGGGGGGCACAGGTTGCTCAGCTCAGTTTTGTTTGATCGGCTGGTATAAATCCCAGATATACAATGTATTGATCATTGTTTTATCATCAGTTTTAACTGTGACACGGTAGTGATAAACGTCAAACAACTGCATCACTTTATTCTCTCCTTTGACATTAAGATGTCATGCCATGATATCACTAAAACTCAGGCTAAAGTGGAGTGAATTTGAATATAATTTAAAAAGAGAATTTTTTTAGTATAACATGAAGAAATATGCAATTGATATTATGTAAAAAGAAATATTGAACAGAAGTCTTCAAGAAGAGGGCACATTATTCTATTTCTTTCATTGGTACATTGGGTAATACAGGGTGTTTGTAATGTATTTTCCTGGCCTTTGCCCCTCAAAATCAAATAGCAGCAGCAAATGGTGAAGAGAAGGAACTGAGGACATCATACACATCATTCTAATGTGCAGAATGGCTCATGGTCCCTGCCTTTCCCAGTCCCTGAAACCAGATTGTTAATTGGTCAAGTGAAATTAATATTTTGGTCAAGCAGATTAAAAAACATTTAACCCCTGCTTTTTCACAGCTTTTGTCAGTGGATTATCTTGTCTAGATTCGGTCATATACCGACGACCTTCATCGAGCTGAAATATTGCTGTGAGCAGCATTAAGCAAGAAGGAGGGAGTGAGTGGGTTGGATTCAGGTCGCTTTTAGCAATTGAGAGGTCACCATAAATGGGCTTCATCCAAGCGAGGAATCGAATCTTGGGTTTTTGGCGTGCCGAGCAAATGATTTAACCACTAGGCTACCTGACCTCCCCCACACCACACCCATATGGATGTAAAGACACTGAACGTACTGTTCCAGGTGGGTGACATTGTCTACTGCCGTCTGCTGGTAGCAAACAAGGATATGGAGCCAGAGGTGGTCTGTATCGACAGCCATGGGCGCAGCAGTGGTATGGGCGTCATCCGCAACGAGGGCTTCATGTTTACATGTTCTCTCAACTTAGTCAGAAAGTGAGTTAAACAAACTTGGTGTTGCGTGTAGTTGTTTGTTATGAAAGGCAAGGAAATGAGTGAAAACCACTTCTTTATTGCAATGAGTGTGATGTTTCGACATCAAAATGTCGCACTCATTGCAATAAAGAAGTTGACTATCCATAGAAATTGGTTTTCCTTCATATTTACAAATTCTAAAATGACTCTCAAAGAAGCTCTCAAACCTGAGGCTGAAATGAGTGTTGTAAACCAAAGAAGGCTGACAGTCCATGTGTGTTTTGGCTCTTCCTTCTCTGAAAAACTTTTAAAAATAATTCTCAAACATGAAGTCAGATTCTTTCACATTTTTAAATATAGCTGATCAGTCATGGACATCATGGTCATTTGTGAAATATGTTCTGTAGCGTTTTTGAGTAGTAATAGTAAAAAAATCAAATTGTTTAAAATGTTTGCTTGTATCAGAACCCACTAAAGATTTGAAAAGGATATATGGCATCAGAGTGACATAGCATTAACCAAAATGTGGGTGTTTCTATTTGGAATGAAAAATAAGCACACATATTATTTATAAATCTACCCAGGTGCCTGCACAGATGTATTAGAGAGAGTTGTAAGAGATTGGTACTATGAAGTCATATCACAACATATGATACCAAATAACTGCTTGCCAATGAACATGGATGTTTCACGGGTAAATGGGGTGTACAGAGTTCTGTCCCCTGTGTGTCAGGAACTTGTAATGGATGGTTTAAATCCCAGATTTAATTTGATTTATTTTAGGAGGGTTTCACTAAAACGGTAAATGTCGAAGAGCTGAATCACTTTCACACTTTTGACTTTCCTCCCGTATCAAGAAGAATTCCCTAAGTGTAACTGAAATATTGTTTCAAATGGCATTAAGCCATACTCTCTTAAACCAGATCTGGGTTAGAATTGATCTTCAGTAACCCATGCTTGTTGTAAGAGGCGACTAACGGGATCGGGTGATCAGGCTTGTTGACTTGGTCTAACACATGTGATCATATCCCAATAACATAGATCGATACTCATGGGGAAAGTGTTGGTCAGTGCTCTTAATTTTGTGTCACAACTGTCAAGGCAAAGGTTTTGTTGATACTTTACAATGCAATCCATGCTCTCTCCCTTTTGTTTCCACAGGGTTCTCAATCCACAATGTGCTCTCTCAAAGATCCTAGGCAAACACCTGCCTTATGAAATGACTGTTGGCATGAACGGCCGTATCTGGGTTCGAGGACGTTCCACCAATCAAACAATAGCCATCTCTAATGCAATATCAGTGGCGGAACACATGACAGACCCACAGATAAAAGCAATGGTGAAAAGACTGGCTGATGCCATAGCTGGAATTTAACTACAGTTTCCACTATCTTGTATTTCTGATTGTGTCGGGAGCGGTGGGGTAGCCTAGTGGTTAAAGCGTTGGCTCGTCACGCTGAAACTGGGTTTGATTCCCTACATGGGTACAATGTTTGAAGCCCATTTCTGGTGTCCCCCTCCGTTATTTTGCTGGAATATTGCTAAAAGCGACTCACTCTGATTGTGTCACAAAGTGTCAAGTGCTATGATGGTTTCATTGTGACGTGCTGTCATAAGTAAAGAAGATACATTGTGACACTGGTTGTCATGGAGACTGCATGACGTGTTCAGGTTCTATTCAAGAACTGAACAAAATGTCATGGAACTGCTCTGGTGAAGGGCATGCCTGTGACAGTGTCATATTAATTATACTGATGAAAGCAAGTAGGGGAACACATACAAGTACACGTGTCCCTGTATTCTTTTCCAGGGTTCTTTGCATGTATTGTACTGTGGGTGAAAATCTGGGAATAAATAAAGGAAGTCATGTGTTCATCTGAATATTTTGAAGTTCAGGGTACTCAAAGTCTATGGTTGGTTGGTGTCCCAGAAAAGAGTGAAAATTGAACACAGTACTGTCCAACAAACAACACAAGATTCACATGCTACTAAGGTCAAATACAAAATGTTGTGGTTACGATTACACCTCTTTAAAATTTAGGGAAGGTAAGTAGGATTTTTAAATTCTTTTTACATTTTTTTTTTAGAAGTAAAGTACAAACTATTATCTTACCTTTATGTAAAATACTTTAACTTCATTGGTCAATGAGGCTTTAACAAGTTTCCAGGAGGGTGACAACTGGAAAAAATATTACCCGCTGCCACGGTAACCGCCAAACTCTCTGCTGAGAAGCTGTATTGCTAACAATGGTATGACGTCATAATATGACGCATGCAGTGCCCGGAGTTCGAAAACCGTTTGATTAGCTGTTCACTATGTTCACATTTATTATCCCCCCGCCACGCATTTAGCACGAAGCGGTGGGATATAGTATTAGGCTCCGAATTGGAATATCTTAAGAACCGTTGACTGGATTCTTTTCATATTTGGTACCTAGGTTCATCACAGTAAAAGAAAGTCCCAGTCAGGTTTGGTGACCTTGACCTTCATTTCAAGGTCACAAGGGGACTTTAACGTTTTACCCTTGTCAGCGAGATATCTCAAGAACTGTTCACTGGATTTTCTTCATATTCAACACCAAGCTTTATCTAGGGAAGGCGCAGGGCCCAGTCTATTTTGGTGACCTTCACCTAATTTTCAAGGTCACGGCAACACTTTGAAGATTTCAGCATGTTAACCTGCATGTAAAGATTGTCAGCGAGATATCTCAGGAACCATTCACTGGACTTTCTTCATATTTTACACCAAGCTTCATTTGGGGAAGGTGCAAGTGCCAGTCGATTTTGGTGACCTTCACATAATTTTCAAGGTCACGGCGACACTTTGAAGACTTCAGCATGTTAAACTGCATGTTAAGATTGTCAGCGAGATATCTCAAGAACAGTTCACTGGATTTTCTTCATAGACTTTCAAGACTTCCCTTGAATGTTTTCAATAAGCAATTTCTTTATTACTATTTTTGCATATTTCACACACTAAGACATTCATGTCAAGGTCAAAGTGAGTCTTGAAAATATTTGTGCGTTTGAACAACTACAGAGCAAGATATCAAGAGAGGTTGACTGGTCATGTTTTTGTTGACATTTAACTTCATCTTAAATTACAACCTTCACTTTCATTACTTTTTAAGTTTGATTTGATAATTTGTGGCGGGGGATTATGTCACCTTAGTGACAATGCTTGTTTTACCGACTTTCACTGCTTTATTTAAACTATTTTATACATTGAATCGTTTGCACACTCAACTTAAGCATAACTAACCATTTTTATAGCAGTTTTAAGCCTGTCAAAATATGTTTCACTGATTTCAAAAATCCAGTCGAGAGGCAGATGCCAGTGTATGAAATAAAGCCAGTCCGACCGCCCGAGATGGGCTAGATTTCTGACAGACTGTCTAAATTTACAGCTAGCCAGCCTGATGGTCTGGTAAATATTCTTAGATATTCCATACGTCTGAGTAAATTCACCACGTCTTGGTGTCTGGTCTGGTTAAATCCATTTTGACTGGTAACATTTTGAAGTTACCAGCCCTGATGTCTGGCTGGGTTTTGGCTTATTTCATACACTGCAGACACCATTTTGTTTACATGTCATATAGTGTGTAGCGATCTTCAAAACAAAATAAAATGATATTTTGTACATTTAACATGGTGGTAAGGTAAATACATTGTATGCTTCTCCCTCGGTTAATAAGGCCTGATGTACACCTCTTTGTAGCAGTGTTATCCCTCTCCTACCGGCTCGGGTAACAAAGAGGCGTACATCAGACAGTATTACCCTCGAGAGAAGCATACAACTTATAATAACACATTTATCAATGTGTAAGGATGGGTCAGGTAATTGGAACCACAACATTTTTTTTAGGCCTAAGCAAATAATTATGATTAGACCTGGAGTTCACCAGCTGAAATGAATCAACAAAGGAATATGATTGTTTCAACTGGGCATATTACTAAAGATTTTTAAATGATAACCCATGGAAATTCATTTAACGATGTGGGTCTTTATCATAAAAGCAGTATGCATTCCAAAACATGCATACAAAGTTTCTGTGTTTTGATGGGTACATTGCATATTGTCCATTTAATATTTTTGGAACATGGAATGCAGGATTTCACATGCAGTAAATCACTGTTATGTGTATGACTCCCTTAACTCTGGAGTAACCATAAGGTTACTGTATTGACTTGGCTGTTCACTAGGCCGACATATATTTCTGTGGGTCTTGATCAGAAACCATCTAATCTACATTGAAGTTACATTGAAAAGGCCCCATGGGATTTGGAGGTTAGAAATGGATCTGTGAACCTGGCTAGGAGACTTTGTTGATTGCGTGTCATTGAAACTTGGTGTCATGGATCAAGGTTTGTATCATCAATCACAGGATGGCTGAAATATTGCCGATTGTGTGGTTGTCTACTTCCTGGTATGTTTGGTGTGCTGAAATGTCTTTTAGTATCAATATTTTAATAAACAAAAATGTAACATGACACAGTGACGAGACTTTTCAGTGAGTGAATTATGGGTGGTAAATTAAGTTTACCTGAAAGATTTATAGAATTGAAACATTATGAGAAATATGGAGGAAATACACATATTGTCAGAGTGAGTGCTCCCATTGAGTATTTGATGCCCAGAATTTTCATTTGGAACCAGTGATGTAGTCCATAGTGTTCATAATTTGTAGTTTCTGCATGTTGTAGATCATAACAACAGGGAGACATGTCTGAGTCTGACATCATTCATGAATGCTGTGTCTCATGATGATGTCACCAGGTGTCGTGAGTTTCCATGACAACTAAACCAGCTTGGTCAGCAAATATATAAAGGGCATAGTCAAATAAATTGATCATAATATGACAAAGACTCCAATATTGTGCACAACATGTACTGTGTATGTGATGTCTCCCTGCTGAATGCATGTCTTATCAAACATGAGACATGATTCTTACCGAGAAGCAGTGTATGAAATAAGGCCCATCGACCGCCTGAGACAGGCTAGATTTCTAGCGGACGGTCTAAATTTACAGCTAGCCTGCCCGATGGTCTGGTTTGAGATGTTCCAGACATCTGCGTAAATTCACCATATCTTGGTGTCTGGTCTTCTTGCCGAGAAGCAGTGTATGAAATAAGGCCCATCCGACTGCCTGAGACAGGCTAGATTTCTAGCGGATGGTCTAAATTTACAGCTAGCCTGCCCAATGGTCTGGTTTGAGATGTTCCATACATCTGCGTAAATTCACCATATCTTGGTGTCTGGTCTGGTTAAATTCATTTGGGGCTGGTAATATTTTGAAGTTACCAGCCCTGATGACTGGTTGGGTTTTTGGCGTATATCATACACTTTATTTCATACACTGCGAGAAGATAATCATATCCAGCAGTAACTGTATAAGATTCCAAGGTTTGAATCCCATGTAATGTTTTCATCCATACAGATAGCAGCACATGCACATTCATTTTCCAAATACACACTGCATTGAGTACTGTGCTGGGTTGATTCCCTTCCAGAACTTGTGTTTGTGGGTTCGAACACCAGTTAGCCCAATTTCTAGATTTGTCAGACCATGGCCATTCTCATGGGTTTCACTGAAGTGGTCCAAGACCCGCATCACTTTGGGGATCTTCTCCCACAATAAGCTGATATACCCGTGAGTGAATTGGGTTTTACACCGCTTTTAGCAATATTCCAACAATATCGGCGAGGGACACCAGAAATGGGCTTCACACATTGTACCCATGTTGAGAATCGAACCCAGGTCTTTGGTGTGACAAGCGAACGCTTTAACCAACCGCCCCACATGCCTGTGATATAACTGGAATACTGTTGAAAAACAAAGATAAACCCACCTCACTCAACCCGCTTTATGTTGAGACATGAAAGTAATAATTATTTGCAGTCAAATATGCTCTGAACTGGTGAGACTAAGCAGTGCAACCTTGACATGCCTTGATGCTCTGTCTTGACACGTCCAGCTTGATCCAGCGAGTGTCTACAAGCATTGCGTGTTTCACTGTAAATCATTCACAGAACTGCCAATGTCAGTATTTTACATATATTTCAAAATCATTTCTCGGCAAACACATACAAAATATTTGCTAACTGATACACAGTACACACCAAGCCCTTACAGATGAGTCTCAAATAAATACAAAAATTATAGTTTCAACTTGAGAATATGTACAATCAGCGGAGTCCACCATTTGCTAATTGATAGGTCAAACATACACCTTGTAAATCAACACAGTTGTCATCTGGAAGCAGAATGTTCATAGTTCCTTTTCATAGACTCTTAGCAGTAATGTTTTATTCAAAACAATTCTACATGTTTAATATCATTATGCACATGATAAAATAAACTCATCAGATATTAGAGGTGTGACAATACAGAAATTTCACGATATACGATACGTATCGCAATATCATTAAACGATACGATTCGATACGATGCATATCACGATATGCTATCTTCAGTTATTTTCTTTTAAAAAGTGTATTTTGATAACAAGAAACTGTAAATTTTGACATAACCGTCAATTTCTGGTGAAATTTCACAATTTTAAGGTCAACGACACATATCATGATAAGGAAGAAAGTATCGATATATATTTATTGTCAGAAAAAGTATCACGATTATCGATACTACGATATAGCGTCACAGTTCTATCAGATATCTTGGATAATTGTCTAGTATTGTCTACATCACATTCAGCTTCATTCAATCACACATACACCTCGTAACCATACTGACTAAAATGAAACCGGTAGTTTCAATATATGAAACTTTGTACTATCACACACACACACAGATTATTCTCAGCCTCAAGGTTGTCAGGTTTTACACACCCTTAACATAATTAACAAAAAAAATGCAAATTGTCTCAAAATTTGAAAATTCAATATTTGTATGTGATCTGATGGACGTTTCCAGAAGAAGACAAATTCTACATATATAATCATGAAAATAATGTTTCTGGGGTAGCGTTTCCCCAGTTACACAAATGTACAGAGCCTCTATAAGTGTGATGTCAGTAACCCTACTTTCTGTACCAACATGTAACCCCTACTTTCTGTACCAACATGCAGCCTTATAAGTGTGATGTCAGTAACCCTACTTTCTGTACCAACATGCCAACTCATACTTCACACTTTGCACAGCTTCTGCATTCAGAAAACACAAATGCATGTTCCATATTTACAAAAAAAGAAATAATTTACTATGTGTTCATCAGAAAATTCTTGCCCACACCTGAACTAACTCACGCCATCACAATCATTCTGGCTACTCTTTAAGCCATGTTTGTGGGCAACTGTGGAAGGAACATTCAGATTAGATATAAATGCATACTCTGATTTGTCATAACTATCTTAACATCAAATTCCTTAACAAATGTTTTGCTAGCTTTGGCATATATATGGTTGAACAAGTTATCATAACAAAACAAAGAACAGCCTTCAAAATTCATACCAGTTTGAAACTAATTAACAGTACTGAGGTCAAGCATAAATCCAATGACTGTACTTTTTGATAGTCTACAATGACTAGAAACATTTGAGAGCTTTAATTCGAAGCTATTCTCAATGCTTCAGTTTTGCAATATGTAAGAACTGGATAAAACTGACAGAAACTGTATACATAGTAAACACTTGGTCTGGATCAAGTAGACCAGGCTAAAACCCTTGTCCGTCCACTGGCGTTGTCTAAAACTGTCTAAAAACACTAATTTCAACAGCTGAAGTAATATCTCAACTACTAATATTTTGTTGCAGTTCACACAAGCTGACATATTTCCCCTTAAATACTGAAGTAATTACCCGGCATACAAAAGAATCACACCTAATATCACCCAGCTGAACAACTGTTTGAGAAAGACATTACAAAGGAATCCTCAAGCAGCTGACTTGAGTGCACAATGAGATCCCAGCCATATGAGAACACGGCCTCCTTCCTTCCACGACCCATCCTCGTCACTATATACTGAAACTCTCCCCACACCCACATGTCCCTGTAATGTTGGGGTTGTTGAACACAAACTCTGAAGACAGTTTTGATTCAATAAAGTCCATCTCAGTTCCCAGCAGCGTCAGCTGAGCCTTGGAGTCGATGTAAACCTTCACACCTGGAATACAGAGGGAGAAGTGGTGTTCTGTGATTGGGATAATGAGTGAGTGAGTTTGGTTTTACGCCATTTTAGCACTATTCCAGCAATGACATGGCAGAGGACACCAGAAATGGGCTTCACACATTGTACCCATGTGGGGAATCCAGTCTAAGTAAACTTAGGCTCAGTATTATTCGTTACACCACTATACTGAGTCTAACAAAACCTTGTGGAAGGTCGCGTCAGCTAACCTTTTTTGAGCAACCTATGATCGTCCAATCAAACGCAAGACGGTTGAAAGGATTTAACCAATCAGACAACAGCTACTATTTAGGGTTTGGCGGGACTTACAAAATGGATATTCTCTTCCCGGTCGCCAACACTGATCTCCCAACAAACGAAAACCCTCATGAAACACAGATATTTGACCTGCAGTATATACGCTTTGGGGTTTCTGTTGACAAGGTTATCATTAGCTAATATTCCCGCAAGCTGACAACCTTGAATACTGACAAAACGCTATTTTCAGAGACTGTTCACTCACGGTTGTGGCGTGCTCCATGTGCATCAGTCGGAAGCGATCGTACGGAAAATAGCATTCGGAATCGTTCGGGTACAAACTTTTTTCGAGGTAAAAGTTCAAAAGGTATGTGCGAATGTCAATTTTCGCGATTGGTCAGCTGTGTTCTGATTGGTCAATTGAAAAGGTTATCTGACACGACCTTCTACTAGGTCTTGTTAGACTCAGTATAGCAGTGTAACGAATAACACTGAGCCTAAGTTTACTTAGACTGGTGGGGAATCATACCCAGGTCATCAGCGTGACAAGCGAACGCTTTAACCACTAGGCTACCCTACCGCCCCGGATTGGAATAAATAGAGGTTATTGGCCAAGTCCGTTCTTATATCACACATCATATATCAGGGTGCCGGTGTACAAAACAACCTTAGCGCAAAGATTACCTTAAGTCTATGTTAAGGTATATGAGTTAGGTCACCTTTACGCTAAGATCGCTTTGTACAACGGCACCCTGGAACACAAATGTATTATGGACCTGTTGGCCTCAAAATACACATAACTTGCCTTTTCTGCTTCAGAATCCAAATAAACATGATCAGGACTTTTGGGGATAAAGACTGTTCAGACATACGCAGAATTCATGGATCATGTGAAACTTTGCAGTTAGCATGTTATAAAGAAGGACAACCATGACTGGATGAATAAATTCTTTATTACAGTGAAAGTAACATTTCGGTGTTGGTTTTAACACCATCATCAAACAAGTGAGTGCTTACACCAAAACACTGCTTTCACTATAATAAAGAAGTTGTCCATCCATATATTGTTATCCTTCCTTATTGCTTCAACTTCTAAATGCCTCAAAGAAGTCACCATTATGTTGATCTATCATGAACAAGATCGAAAGCATTGCAGCTGCTGTAGTTTCACCACAATGCTACTGCCTGAGTACAGGCCTTGTTTATAGAAATATTTACAATGAAATTCCAATCAGATTTGATTGTGTCGTTTAGTATCCAATACGCTCAAATTTAATTTAGAACCAAACAGATCTATTGCAAAAGGTCAGATAATATTTTGGCAAATTGATACACATGTAGAATTAAAACATGAATAAAACAACAAGTGCATCATCTGGATAATTAGTGCATATAATGGATGTAATATTCATGTAGCCATTGGCTGAATACATTATTCGGATTTGTAACATATTTATTGAGAACAGTGTAACTTAACATAACTATAACTAACATAAATAATCTACAAGATTTTCCAGTTTGTACATTTAACATTTTTCAACCAATCAGTACACACCACACACAGCTATACACTTACAACACAATTAAACACTGCCAGTCATGCTTGACAGCTCATCCAAAGTGTGTCAATTCAATATTAACTATCTGAATATCCTTATCTGTAACACCATGGTTAAATAATGGGGCTGTTTCATTATGGTAGTATCATGAACATCACAACAGGCATCACAGCTGTGTGGTATTGATTTGGGGACCTACATCTGAACACATTGTAATTTACATTGTCGATTGTCAAAAACATGCATTCTGTTCATAGTATATCTATGTGAGAAAAAGATTTCATTATAAATAATGTATATATATTTAACAATACTCATTTCTAGGACAGTTTTTTCAATCCTGTCTCCATGATTACATTCAAATCAGATCTTAGACCTCACTGCTGCTACACAAAGCTTTGTTTAGCAGTACAGAGCACTATGATCTGATTTTAATGAGCTTGCATGGACATCACAATACTGCAGCAATATTCCAGCTATAGCACAGTGACTGGGACACATCGAGGCAAGTGAGTGGTCGAGAATAGCAAGAACTGTTGTCCACTGATTTATGAGTATGGAAGAGAAACTGCATTTCCAATAAAAATATTACATATATATTCCGACAACAATAACTAATAAATAGAGGATATTATATGAGTGCCCATGTCATACTATGTTTACGACACGAGTGTCGTAAATATAGTATGATATGGGCACTCATATAATATTCTGTTTATTACCGAAGTCGTCAAATTGAGGAAAATAAACCCAAATCTACTTTCAAACACAGGCTGGCTACCCGCCGTCGCCGCATGTAGAACGCAACGTCACAGAAGAAAGGTGATGTCATAGCCTTGTTCATGATGTCACGTCACCATGACAAAGTGATATTTTGCCCTAGGGCATCATATGAAAAATATGAACCCCGATATGTTCGCCATCGTAGGTAATAAAGACTGTTAACTTGTCACACCTGAGACATATGTGATTCTATCCAGTGGACTTGGTGATCATTATTTAGGAAACAAATGTGAACAGTAGCCTGAATGACCTCCTCATCAAACTTCCCCTTCAGGGCCCCTGTTTCACAAAGCTCTCATAAGCCTAAGATCTTGTAGCTTTTTTCGTAGCATTCATTCGTACCTCCTATACTGTAACACAGGAGGTACGAATGCTATGAGGAAAGTTACGAGATCTTCGGCTTACGAGAGCTTTGTGAAACGGGGCCCTGATTATTATTATGTGATTCTATCCAGTGGACTTGGAGACCATGATTAAGATAAGAAGGTGAATAGTTACCATCCTTAACGACCATCAACAAACTTCCCCTTCAGATTATTATTATTTGACTCTATCCAGTGGGAGTTCATGACCATGATTAAGATAAGAATGTGAATAGTTACCATCCTGAACGACCTCTTCATCAAATTTCCCCTTTTCACTGACATAGTCTAGCGTGTAGGACAGTCCATTACAACCCACGGGTCTTCACTCCTATCTTCACGCCCATCTGAAATCAAGGTTTCACAGTCAAGAGAGACTAGCATGTGTGTAACAAGTAGGAGAATATCAATTATTTCTGGATCACCTCCATGGCATAGTGGGTAGACCACATGATCACTGAAGATACATTAGATAATCAAGGATCTTATGTTGAGTCACAGGTCTAGAACCTGTGAATGTGTATATGTTACATGGAATAAATTACGATTTTTTTAGGGACTATGAAGGATAAATTCAGAGCACCATACCATTTCTGGCTTGTTTTCCATAAGTTGTTTCAACTTGCCGACAGCAGATTGTGTCTGAAAGAAAGTGAATAAACAGGTGAAGGAATAAGACACCCTTTTTTCATCTGAAATGTAACTTCTAAATAAAGGCTCTATTATTTAAGTCTGAAATAATTCGCAATGTAGCTGTGGTAACAGCAGCCCTCATTTGCTTACTGTAACTATCACTCAAGGTGTTACATTTGGGGCCCATAAGCATGATAAGGAAAGGGTGTCAATAACCACTGTAGGGTTTACGTGTGAAATGATACAGCAAGGCTACAACATGATGATACATAGGTCACAATACACATATTCAAGCCAAAATGCATGGACACTTCATGACTGTAAATATTTCAGAGCAGGTTTGCTAGGAAAACATAGCTGTAGACCCACATTCCTCATGGCTTTTTCTTGTAGTATAATTGAAACAATGATTACAATATTATTGCAATATTTGACTGACAAGATTTGAGGTCGGAAGTGTCATTAAGCAAGCAAAGTAAACATTTCAGCAAGTGTATCATCTTGTATCAAAGCAGAAAAACACCCATTCTGTATCACGGGTGCTTAAAAACTCATGATGCATCGGTACAGCTGTGTATCATTTAATGCTTAGTAGGACTTAGAGTACACTTCTACCATGTCTACATCTCAAATTGGCAACAAAAGAATTTCATAGTAAATTAACTTTGAATATGGACTCCAAAGTAAAAACAAAACAGGTTTGATGCATATTTGTTATCCCATTGATTGTACATCATCATGGCAATCTACATGATATATGTACTTTAGCAGAGCAGTCTATCATAATAGGCACACCAGATCATCATCATCATAAACTTATATAAACTGCCTATTTTGCACCATGTCAGCAAGCTTCTGCCATATCAACATGGACATCTTGAACATGTTCAATACCATAGAAATAAAAAATAACAAACAACATTGCTACAATGATGCTTTTCCATAAAGCTTAAGAACTAATGATAATTGTCCCATGTTATTCTGCTCTGCAGCCTTGGTGTTGACAGTGACAATAAATAATGTTAATACTCATGAAGCCTTAGAAGATAATATTAACTAATTAAGTTACTGTTGTGTCAATGAGCAAGAACATGGATGCAGAGCAATCTAATATAGATTTTAAACAAAGAAAAACTATAACAAACATGACCCTGGCTTGAAATAAATCATATCATGTGTGAACACATAAAAACAAGCAGTATGAGTCAAAGTTTAAGCAATTTTCGTAAATCCATGAACCAGTAAACTTTGCATTTTCGTGTAAATTGTGTTGTTTCCCCCTTGTGTCCCTGTTAATCAAATCCAGGAATGATCACTGGTGTCTTACAAGATTTTCTGTGAGAAAATGGGTCACTACTTTCAGAGGAAGTTTTATTTAAGGAGAAGAAAATGAAATCGTAAAACACGCTAAATGCAGACAGAACCAGTTTGAATGTCTTTCAAAGAAGAATCAGTTTGGTTATCTTGTAAGCAACAACAGGATTCAGGCGGTACAAAAATGCATGTCATGCCAGGTGTTATCAAGCCTTAATGTTGTTACAATTATACACAGACACGCTTTCTATCTGTCATGTGAGACACGTAAGTTACGTAAACATTTCATCATGAATAATAACAAATGAGAACGATATTTTGACCTCACCGAAGCATGTTATAAACTCTCTGGATAACTTAGGAAGATAAAAAGCAGTCTAAAATAGAATAATGTGTAACTACAATATGTCCCTCTTACCAAAACAAGCGGAGCTCGTTGAGGTATAAGCCGTTTTGATGTGACAGCTCTGACTGTGGCCCGACCAATCGCCCTGGCGGCCATCTTGTTTCTGTTGAACGAAGGGCAAAGCACTTTGCTTGAGAGACTTTTCATTGCAATTACCAGCTCCAAACAAACATCCACTCATAGGTGTCCAACCGAACACGAATGACGCAGATAGGCTACCTGCTCTGTAGCGACTACCATGGATTCTAGCATTCTAATATTTGCTTTTAAACAGGGAAAAAATCAACATAAGAAAATAACAACATGCATTAACATTTCTTTCTCTTTACTGTTTAATAATAGCAGGGAGACTATATAAGGGGGTAGAGTATCCCTGATAATGTAGGGGCCACTGGGCCTAGATTTTCGAAGCTCTCTTAGCGCTAAGATAGTCGTAAGTGCCATACATTAACATTAACGTACGTATCTCTTTCAGTGAGCGAGTGAGTTCAGTTTTACGCTGCACTCAGCAATATTCCAGCTGTATGGCTGTGAACCAGAAAATCCATGGATCAACAGCATGAGCATCAATCTACGCAATAGGGATAGTGTTGTCTATACAGGAATATTACTTTTGCTCTTATCAGTTTACTAATGGAACATTTATCAGAAATATTTCTGTATGATATTTTATGAAGAAATAATAATTTGATCACCTTTTTGACCAAATTTGAGAGACTTTTCATTGCAATTACCAGCTCCAAACAAACATCCACTCATTAGGTGTCAGAACCGAACACGAATGACGCAGATAGGCTACCTGCTCTGTAGCGACTACATGGATTCTAGCATTCTAATATTTGCTTTTGTACAGGGAAAGAATCAACATAAGAAAATGTAACAAAAGACATATTAACATTTCTTTCTCTTTACTGTTTAATAATAGCAACGACCACTGGGACCAATCGCGTTATATAGGTTTATAATGTGATGATTCAGTCCATTAGATTTGAGGTTCAACGTCTTCTTTTGCGCTAAGATAGTCGTAAGTTTTACGCCATACATTAATATATTAACGTACGACTATCTTAGCACTAAGAGAGCTTCGAAAATCTAGGCCCAGTTATCTCTTTCAGTGAGTGAGTGAGTTCAGTTTTATGCCGCACTCAGCAATATTCCAGCTGCATTCCTACTATATCCACTTGACCACCAAGTGAAGCAGACACAAACATTTTGTACCAGAAATATAATCGTATTAAATATATGTAAATATAGATCTATATGGATTCTAAATATTATAATGGCACACAGAACACTAATGGTCTGTTCCAAATCATCCTAGACCTGGGCTGTATTCATGTGTCATCCAATAACTATACAATAACAACAACTACAGCAGACAGAGAACGTGGACTAAGACAGGAAGAGTGATGTCGAGCCGACAAGTGTAGATTCGCATAACGTTTAGTAGGAGAACTTATATCGCCTGTAAACGAGTGCTAGAATCTGTTTACAGCGCATGCCGAAATAAACAGGAAGTAGAAGTCCACGTTTTCTGTCTGCTGGAGTGATTGCACATCGATGACACAAGACATCACAAATCCGACACTCTGACCACGAATAAATTTTTCCACAGACTGTATAACTTGCCAAGAATAACTATGGCAGGATGTCAAGATGTCATTGTTATAGATGGTGGCATGTTAGAAGGGGTGAGTAAGGAAAATGAATATTTGGAAGTAATTTTCACATCTCTTGGCACACTTGGCATTATCTAATGTTTTGAGTGAGTATTGGTACTCAGAACCAAATTTAACAGTTTAATTTCACTACAAGCCATGTTTATTTAATGTCGTCATTATTAAAACACAGGGCCATGTAACTAATATTAGACAATTTGGTTATTTACAAGTCTTTATGCCTGTGTCAGCATATTTTTGTCAGGATATTTTACATTGTATTCATGAATATTTTAGTCATACACCAGCTTTAAACTAAGTCTAACTCTGTCATATATGTGGTAAGAGTTCCGCCCGTAACGCCCACTTGAAATGTATTCTATTTATTAGGATTATTTGGAGGGTTTAGGGTAAGCTTTGGGGTTAGATGTTAGGGTTAGGGTTAGGGTTTAAGGTTAGGTATAGGCTGTTTATAAAAAACATTCTCGGGAATTAATTATTAGAAATAAATACGGGGGTTACAGGCGGAAATCTTTCCGTGTTCCAAACTGGTTCCCAATGGAAATCCGGTTTAGAATTGGCCATCAACAACCCATCATTTTTGTAAGGGGGCACTGACGGTTTTGGGTGGTCAGGCTCTCTGACTTGGTTGATGCATGTCTCCTCATCATGTTTGTAATGCCAATCACTGGATTGTTTGGCCCAGAACTATTATTCTCAGACATATATCATAAAGATTTAATACTGCTGCTGACTGTGACATTACACTGTAGCATCAATGCCATATTTGGGATTTCTGTGAAAAATGAAACTTTGAACCTGGAGCAGGATGTTGATAAATTATGTAGTTCTATGGTGATAGTAACATTTTATCTAAAAACTCACCACAATCTGACACCTTACTCAAGACATTGGCACATATGACTGGAGTGTAGGTTTGTAAATGTAACAACCATGAATACATTGAACAGTGTCTCTTAGGGCTGGGACGAGTAACCCGGATACCCGGGATGGGTGGGTAATGAGTTGGACCCGGGTACTCATCTCAATACCCGGGCCCGTTATGGTCATGTGACTAATAGATTAAACAATATAATATGTTACTCTTTCATGATTAAAACGTTGTATTGTCTTTGAAGATTTAGACATAATTTACAGTTACTTCTTTTGAATATAATACATGGTTAAGATATTGAAAAACTCGATATTTTAGCCTCCGAGCTGAAGAATATATTGCCATTTCTTGCAAATTTGATGTCAGGAATTAACATAATGGGTATCCGGGTATGGTAGGGTAATAGGGGGTGGGGTACCCGGGTAGAAAATTTGGACCTGTCCCCACCCTAGGGTCTCTTACAAAGATGTATTGTTCTCTCACCAGGGAGGGCAGATCCTGCGTAACTCTGCTGCACTGAGTTGTTTGCTGGGTCAGCCTGTGACCATCAACAACATCCGAGCTGGGAGAAGCAATCCAGGACTTCGGTGAGAAGCAGGAATAACCTGCTGGATTACATTAGTCCTATCTAATTGGTTTTATGTTTATGTTGCTATCTTTGTACATTAATGCACACCAACACAGCTCTCTTGGCTTTGTCATTATATTGTTATCTTTGTACATTCTCCCACCTTGCCATGTGTAAACATGCTCTATCTATATGTATTAACTCTGTGCACTGACTCACCGAAGTGATGAAGGAGCAAGATTTAGCTCTGAAATGCTGTGTAAAGAATAAAAAGAAGTTGCTCTGTTTACAATGTTACATTTATGAATATCATCTGGATGAATTTATGATGATATTTAAACTGATTGTATAGCACATGGAGATGAAATTTATGAAGTTTCAGGTTTTGGCTTTCGGCATTAATGGGTACTAACTTCTATGTTCATATGACCAGTGGGGTAAGACATGTAGAATTGTATTTATGTCTTTGATGTGAAACTAAATGAGTTAATGTTGAGTTAGTGTGGGCTTTATCTGTGTACACTATGAGAATGAATAGTTTGTGTTCAACACTGTTTAACACCATATAGCTGAACAAGTTTGAGATAAGAGTAGTTTGGAACTTGTTTTACTTTGTAATCTTACACTAATGTGGTGATTTCAAATCATGCACACAACACCAGACAGCCTCCATCATTTAGAACAGAGACCAGAAGGTTGATGGTTTGCTTACTGATAGATGTTAAAGGATTGTACTTATTGTTTCCTAGACTAACATCTACTCTCTGAAATGAACACATTTTACAGAACCAAACAGTTCCTAAATCATATGATAAAAAAATAATAAAAAGGACCCCAGAGACTTTCTTCATTTTCAGAAACTGTTGTGATCAAGACTTGCCACATATTCTAGACTTGCATAGGCTATATTGGGTGTAGTTTGTACTGGGCACAATACACAAAATAGCAGTTCTGTTATATCCATGGAAAATATGATTTTACTTATTACCCTGTTATGTACAAGTTACTATAACATGAGTGTCTAATAATGCGGGGGGTGGGGTGGTATTTGGTGGTGTCATCAATGGACCCCAAGACCCACGTTATGGCGAGGGATGACTGTTTTTGTTTCAGACTGTTTTTGTTTGTATGACAGACTAATTGTTTCCCTGTCTGTATGACAGACTAATTGTTTCCCTGTCTGTATGATAGACTAATTGTTTACCTGTCTGTCTCGTTTCCATATCAAACTGTGGCATGGTATAAATATAAGTGCAATAATCTTTAAGGGGACATTCATCCAGATTTCTCCGCACCTCTCTCTAGACAAGGGCAGCTGTTACTAAGTGGAGGCACTTCATATATTGCTGTTCATCAGGCTGATCACTTATTACTTCAGTCCACTGAGATTAGTAGAAGGTTCAGCTGTTAATGCCTCATCCTTCTTGCAGACCCCAACACTTGATGGGTCTACAGCTGATCAGGGACATCTGTGAGATTAGTAGGGTTCAGCCAGCTGACCTTGCAGACCCCAACACTTGATGGGTCTACAGCTGATCAGGGACATCTGTGGTGGGAAGCTGACCGGAGACCGAGTGGGGTCAACAGAGATCACGTTCCACCCAGGACCCATCAAGGGAGGGTCCTACCAAGCAGACACGAAAACAGCAGGGTCAGCACTTTTCGTAGTTTCAACCCTTTGTTATTCTAGAGTAGAACATTCCCATTACATCTTGCTTGTTGTAGCGAGTGAGTGAGTTTAGGTTACTTTTACACCGCTTTTAGCAATATTCCAGCAATATCACGGCGGGGAACACCAGAAATGGGCTTCACACATTGTACCCATGTGGGGATTTGAACCCGGGTCTTCGGCATAATGAGCTAAAAAACTTTAACCACAAAGCTACCCTAATGCCCCCTAGCTTGTTGTAAGAACTGACAAATAAGTATGGAGTTGACACAATGTGTTCAAGACACAGTTATTTACCTGCACTGTAATACCATTGGGACATTGCTGCCTGGCAATGACTGACTTATCCAGGATAGAGAGGTGTATTTCAGTAACTCTCAATACCTATCTCTTTGTAAAACAGTATTAATAGGTAAATGTGACATTTACATTGTCAGTAATGGAGCAATGGTGTAGTAAAGAGATGTGGATTATTTATTGATAAATAGTCTGAATTACATAGTATGGAATAATGTCAAACATGTGGAACAGGTAAGCTCTGGCTGCCTGGTTGGAATACAGGTTGAGAGGTAGGGTTGCCTCCCTTTCCCTGCATGTACCTTGGTGAAAAGTATATAGTTTTGTTTCATTTCTGTGACGTGTATAGATATAAAGGTCTCCTCCGGGATGTATGTTTTGCCATTTTTGTTTCATGAAGAGAATGCCATTGCTTATGGCTCACCTCATTCACTCATCTCGCTCACAGTTTGAATGTTTATTGTGCTGTTACCATGGTGATTGTCTTGTTCCAGGAGTATCTGCCTGTTGATGCAGGCTGCCATGCCGTGTTTGCTGTATGGAGATGGGGAGAGTGTCCTAAGTCTGCGAGGGGGTACCAACGCCGAAATGGCGCCACAGGTGGACTACACAATAATGGTCAGTTAGATCTCGCCATATACTTTTTTTTAAAGTTTCAGTTGTTTGATTGGTTGTTTAACGCCGCACTCAGCAATATTCCAGCTATATGGCGGCAGTCTGTAAATAATCAAGTCTGGACCAGACAATCCAGTGAGCAACCGCATGAGCATCAATCTACGCAATTGGGATACGATTATGTGTGTCAACCAAGTCAGCATGCCTGACCACTTGATCCCGTTAGTTGCCTTTTACGACAAGCATGGGTTGCTGAAGACCAATATTAACCCTGATCTTCATGGGTATCAAGTTTGTAATTAGCATGTCTGATAATGATTGTGATATGATCTGTGTTTCATGTCCCCACAGGTGTTTAACCCAATGGCTGAAGAATTTGGGATGACATCTGACTGTGATATACGCAGAAGGTAACTCTTACTAGAATGGGTTTGTTTACCAAGATTCATATGTTGCCTATATCATGTTAAGAACATTTTTGATGTCTGATACATTAATTCTCTTCAAATATTTAAGTGTTGCTTCAAACTTGCATAGCTTTCTTCCCTAGTTTCCTCCAAGATCCCTGTGTACACTCCAAGCATTGTTGTTCAGATTATCATATGTGTGTCAACAGTTACTCAATGTTTGTGGGGGCGGTGGGGTAGCCTAGTGGTTAAAGCGTTGGCTCGTCACGCCGAAGACCCGGGTTCGAATCCCACATGGGTACATTGTGTGAAGCCCATTTCTGGTGTCCCCTGCCGTGATGTTGCTAATATTGCTAAAAGCGGCGTAAAACCAAACTCAGTCAGTCAGTCAATGTTTGTGTGTTATCAGAGGATACTATCCCAAGGGAGGTGGTGAAGTGAAGATTACATCATATCCAACAAAGAAACTCAAACCAGTCTCCATGACAACCAGAGGTGAAGTAACCAAAGTGAACATCAGGTCATTTGTTGCAGGGGCTCTGACAATAAAGGTAAGCAAACCTAGTGAATCGATCGATCTTGCTTGTGTCAGTGATTGTCGATGGGTAATATAAACAATATACTTGGTTGTGTGTCAAAAGGAAGTCTCCTCAATCATCTTGATCGTGGGATTAATCAGTGCTTGTTTGGTTTGCACAATGTTATGATTGTGTCCTTTTTGCCCACATGAGTTTTGTGGTGGTGTTTATGGTTACAATTTGTTATTGATCAATTACTCACCTCCATCAATTGTGACCTCCGATTATCGATCTGCATATTGTGAGCGATAACCAGCACAAATTGTTAGTAACTGTCAATATATCCCATCAGGTAGCTGACATAATGGCCCGCTGTGCTGTAGTTAGTAACTGTCAATATATCCCATCAGGTAGCTGACATAATGGCCCACTGTGCTGTAGTTAGTAACTGTCAATATATCCATAATCCCAGTGTAGCTGTTAGTAACTGTCAATATATCATAGCTGACAATGGCCCGCTGTGCTGTAGTTAGTAACTGTCAATATATCCCATCAGGTAGCTGACATAATGGCCCCCTGTGCTGTAGTTAGTAACTGTCAATATATCCCATCAGGTAGCTGACATAATGGCCCACTGTGCTGTAGTTAGTAACTGTCAATATATCCCATCAGGTAGCTGACATAATGGCCCACTGTGCTGTAGTTAGTAACTGTCAATATATCCCATCAGGTAGCTGACATAATGGCCCACTGTGCTGTAGTTAGTAACTGTCAATATATCCCATCAGGTAGCTGACATAATGGCCCACTGTGCTGTAGTTAGTAACTGTCAATATATCCCATCAGGTAGCTGACATAATGGCCCACTGTGCTGTAGTTAGTAACTGTCAATATATCCCATCAGGTAGCTGACATAATGGCCCGCTGTGCTGTAGTTAGTAACTGTCAATATATCCCATCAGGTAGCTGACATAATGGCCCACTGTGCTGTAGTTAGTAACTGTCAATATATCCCATCAGGTAGCTGACATAATGGCCCACTGTGCTGTAGTTAGTAACTGTCAATATATCCCATCAGGTAGCTGACATAATGGCCCACTGTGCTGTAGTTAGTAACTGTCAATATATCCCATCAGGTAGCTGACATAATGGCCCGCTGTGCTGTAGTTAGTAACTGTCAATATATCCCATCAGGTAGCTGACATAATGGCCCGCTGTGCTGTAGTTAGTAACTGTCAATATATCCCATCAGGTAGCTGACATAATGGCCCACTGTGCTGTAGTTAGTAACTGTCAATATATCCCATCAGGTAGCTGACATAATGGCCCGCTGTGCTGTAGTTAGTAACTGTCAATATATCCCATCAGGTAGCTGACATAATGGCCCACTGTGCTGTAGTTAGTAACTGTCAATATATCCCATCAGGTAGCTGACATAATGGCCCACTGTGCTGTAGTGTAGTTAACTGTCAATATATCCCATCAGGTAGCTGACATAATGGCCCAGCTGTGCTGTAGTTAGTAACTGTCAATATATCCCATCAGGTAGCTGACATAATGGCCCACTGTGCTGTAGTTAGTAACTGTCAATATATCCCATCAGGTAGCTGACATAATGGCCCGCTGTGCTGTAGTTAGTAAACTGTCAATATATCCCATCAGGTAGCTGACATAATGGCCCACTGTGCTGTAGTTAGTAACTGTCAATATATCCCATCAGGTAGCTGACATAATGGCCCACTGTGCTGTAGTTAGTAACTGTCAATATATCCCATCAGGTAGCTGACATAATGGCCCACTGTGCTGTAGTTAGTAACTGTCAATATATCCCATCAGGTAGCTGACATAATGGCCCAGTTAGTAACTGTCTGTGCTGTAGTTAGTAACTGTCAATATATCCCATCAGGTAGCTGACATAATGGCCCACTGTGCTGTAGTTAGTAACTGTCAATATATCCCATCAGGTAGCTGACATAATGGCCCGCTGTGCTGTAGTTAGTAACTGTCAATATATCCCATCAGGTAGCTGACATAATGGCCCGCTGTGCTGTAGTTAGTAACTGTCAATATATCCCATCAGGTAGCTGACATAATGGCCACTGTGCTGTAGTTAGTAACTGTCAATATATCCCATCAGGTAGCTGACATAATGGCCCATATGCTGTAGTTAGTAACTGTCAATATATCCCATCAGGTAGCTGACATAATGGCCCACTGTGCTGTAGTTAGTAACTGTCAATATATCCCATCAGGTAGCTGACATAATGGCCCGCTGTGCTGTAGTTAGTAACTGTCAATATATCCCATCAGGTAGCTGACATAATGGCCCGCTGTGCTGTAGTTAGTAACTGTCAATATATCCCATCAGGTAGCTGACATAATGGCCCGCTGTGCTGTAGTTAGTAACTGTCAATATATCCCATCAGGTAGCTGACATAATGGCCCGCTGTGCTGTAGTTAGTAACTGTCAATATATCCCATCAGGTAGCTGACATAATGGCCCGCTGTGCTGTGGACACCATCCAACAGGTGTACAAGGATGTAGCTATCAGCAAGGATGTTGTCAAGGAACCAGAACATGCTGCTGTGGGTACAGGCACTGGCATCATGTGAGTTACAATGATTGTGATATGATTTAGGGGACTACATAGCATCTTATGTGTATTTCTTTGAAATGTCCACATTTAAACTACTAGATCAGGTCTGAAGTTCGGCTTCAGTAATTCCATTATCTTATCATGGTGGGATGATGGGGTAATCTCGTGGTTAAAGCATTCACTCGTCGCTCAGAAGACCCAGGTTTGATTCCCCACATGGGTACAATGTATGAAGCACATTTCTGGTCTTCCTTGTCGTAGTATTGCTGGAATATTGCTAAAAGCGGCATTAAACTAAATTCACTCTCTCTTCTCATGGATACTCACCAACGGTTAGAGATGGATTCATTGGCCAAGAGAAGGTTTCGTCGGTATCCTTATAGTTGAAAACATTTTGGAAGGAAAAACAACTGCATAGTAGTCTGTTTGTTCCTAATTTTACTCTCACTTGATCTGTAAGTGTCTGTCCGTCAATTCTGCCATAGATCGATTATATATTTTGGCTTTTATCTATTATCTCTGAAACATAACATTTCCTGTGAGACTTTGTTTCAGTTACCCCAGCAATTGTGGCTGTAAGATACTTGCTTACAGAATTCAAGTTTGATATTTTATATTGTTTGAGCTTCCTTATGGAAATGTCATTTTTGACAAAAATCTGCTATGTAGAAAACTAGAATGTTGATTGTTCTAAAGCATTGTTTACACACACTAGCTGATAACCTCAGAGTTTATCAGTTAAGCTCACCTTATTCCACACGGTCGGTTTCTGCTGCAGTGACCATACCACAGGAATTGTCTCATTAGCAGGTCAGGAAGGACTTATTTACAGAAAAAAAAACACTGTCCTGTTTCTGCAATGTGATTAGCTTCATAAGACCAAGTCATTTGTGTCGAAATCTAAGTTCTGACAAAACATGCTTCTAATCTACTCAACTTGGCTATTAGTATTTAGTAACATCAGCTTAATCTTCAGGTTGCCTCCAATTAGTACATCAGAAGCCAGTTTATTATGTTGCCTTCTTTGTTGTAGTGACCTCTGTTGTTTCACTTTGAGATTTGAATCATGCATGAACTAACAATGTCAGAAAAAAGTATTGATGTCATGATGAAATTGATTTATGAATTTGCTTTGAAAAATGCAGAAAATACTTTTGTGTATGTCTCTGGACATTGACCTTCACATAAGTAACTTTGTTTCAGAATCGTGGCGGAAACTAGCACAGGATGTCTCCTGGCAGGATCAGCCTTGGGAAAGAAAGGTAACCAGATGCTGTCTACACCATTCTCTCTCTGTGTCTCTCAATATGTGTGTGTGTGTGTGTGTGTGTGTGTGTGTCTCTCTCTCTCTCTCTCTCTCTGAGAGAGAGAGAGAGAGACAAGGTAGTAAACTTGTAGGTCCTACATCACTTGTGAGTTGGGGGGCAGTGGTTTAGTACTGTAGTTAAGGTGTTTGCTTGTCACACCTACAGCCCAGGTTTCATTCCCCTCATGGTTGTATGTTATGTGTTGTGTAGGTGTTGCTGCTCAGATGTGCTTGTGTGTTGATCACCACATCTACAAGTGTTCCTAATGCTGAGAGTTTCTAATTTGGTGGGGACAGATTTGCTGCTTGACAACCTGGCTCATTCCCCTCATGGTTCTATGTTATGTGTTGTGTAGGTGTTCCTGCGGAGAAGGTGGGGACAGATGCTGCTCAGATGCTGCTTGATAACCTGGCTCATGGGGGATGTGTTGACGACCATCTACAAGATCAGGTCAGTCAGATGCTTATCCTAATGCAACTCTATGTTGATTTTCTATCTGTATGTTGTGTTTGTTTCATCAATGGGACTTTCCCAAATAGTTTTTCCCCTAAATATGATAGTTACTTTGTGTAAATGGTGTGATACAAATCCATTAACATCCCTTCATTGTCTGTTTCAATGTTGAAAATAATGAAAGATATCCACAGGTTTTATTGTTCACTTAAATAAAGAAGAGCCTAAGTGAGGCTAGTTTACGTTGAAGCTGAACAAGAGATTATCACAGTGACTTGGAGCAGGGGTGGACCAGTTGTGTAAGGAGCAGAGCCAGAATAAGTATGGGTTTGGTTGGGCCCCATTGTCTTGCCCCATTGTCGTTGTCCACACCCTGCTCCTGGGTACACAGAAATGGGTAAACGTCTGATACCTCCATCACCTTGGTTTTTCCTCCCACATGTAGATGAGATGCCATGATTTATTGGGATTACTGTTCCAAGCCCATTCACTCACCCAACCACCCACTCACTCAAGATGTGAATCACAGGAAAGACATCACTGCTGTTGTTTTCTCCCACACATGACACCTTGTCTCACCTTACCCATATAGCATATTGTCTCACCTTAACCATATAGCATATTGTCTCACCTTACACCATATAGCATATTGTCTCACCTTACCCATATAGCATATTGTCTCACCTTAACCCATATAGCATATTGTCTCACCTTACCCATATAGCATATTGTCTCACCTTACCCATATAGCATATTGTCTCACCTTACCCATATAGCATATTGTCTCATATAGCATATTGTCTCACCTTTCCCATATGGCATATTGTCTCACCTTAACCATATATGGCATATTGTCTCACCTTACCCATATAGCATATTGTCTCACCTTAACCATATAGCATATTGTCTCACCTTAACCATATATTGTCTCACCTTACCCATATAGCATATTGTCTCACCTTTCCCATATATACATATTGTCTCACCTTAGCATATTGTCTCACCTTACCCATATAGCATATTGTCTCACCTTACCCATATAGCATATTGTCTCATATTGTCTCACCTACCATATAGCATATTGTCTCACCTTAACCATATAGCATATTGTCTCACCTTAACCATATAGCATATTGTCTCACCTTAACCATATAGCATATTGTCTCACCTTAACCATATATATTGTCTATTGTCTCACCTTAACCATATAGCATATTGTCTCACCTTTCCCCTCACCTTAGCCATATAGCACCTTATTGTCTCACCTTAACCATATAGCATATTGTCTCACCTTAACCATATAGTCTCACCTTTATATAGCATATTGTCTCACCTTAACCATATAGCATATTGTCTCACCTATAGCCATATTATCTCACCTTACCCATATATGCATATTGTCTCACCTTAATATGGCATATTGTCTCACCTTAACCATATAGCATAGTCTCACCTTAACCATATAGCATATTGTCTCACCTTAACCATATAGCATATTGTCTCACCTTAACCATATGGCATATTGTCTCACCTTAACCATATAGCATATTGTCTCACCTTAACCATATAGCATATTGTCTCACCTTATAGCATATTGTCTCACCTTAACCATATAGCATATTGTCTCACCTTTCCCATATGGCATATTGTCTCACCTTAACCATATAGCATATTGTCTCACCTTAACCATATAGCATAGTCTCACCTTAACCATATAGCATAGTCTCACCTTAACCATATGACATATTGTCTCACCTTACCCATATGGCATATAGTCTCACCTTATCCATATGACATATTGTCTCACCTTAACCATATGGCATTTTGTCTCACCCTATCCATGACATATTGTCTCACCTTTCCCATATGGCATTTTGTCTCACCCTATCCATGAATTATTGTCTCACCTTACCCATTTGACATATTGCCCTGCCTCACCCTCATAATATATTGTATCTGTTGATTTAGTTCATCCTGCTGATGGCGTTGGCGGAGGGGAAATCTGAGGTGCTGTGTGGCCCCATCACTCTCCACACAAAGACTGCTATACATGTGGCCCAGCTGCTCACTAAGGTAGCAGTCACTGTCCACTCAAGCACCTTCATTCTGCACAGCTTATAACACACAGATAAGCTATTTGCTTGTTACATGTCAATAAAACTGAATACTATGCATGCTGTCTCAGCTGGCATCAAGGATGTGTGGGTTGCCAGGTAGATGTTAAATGGAGGAAGGGGACCCTGATCACTTGCAGGCAATACTCATACATTTGAGTGTTTGGTCAGTTCATACTAAAGATGATGGACTTGGCTGTTGATGTAAAATCACAGTGTGAAATGGGACCCACATTATTGCACTTCTCGTGCAGACAGTGTGCTTCAGTGTTGAAACGGGACATTTTAATGGGGGTAAGACTGACAGCACTTTTGTTTTCAGTGCTTCTAGTATGTTGTAAAGCAGATTTTACTGTTTCTTTAGGCCAAGTTCGAGATCAAGAAGCTGTCGGACAACTCCAATGTGATAGAATGTGCAGGGATTGGACTGGTGAACAGCAGGCTGCCATGATGCGTGTTTGATAGTTCAAGTTGTGTAACAAGCTTCAGCCGTCCACAGACCTACCTGTGTTATAATAAGAAATGGACCCTGTAAACTCTCAGCTTCTTAAGGGAAGACTCACCAGTCTGGTGCACTTCGTAAAGGTGGATTCATCAGTCCTGTCCTGTAGATCACTCCAATATGTGTGCTACTGCTGCATTTAGGATGACAGGATTTGCAGACCAGTTTTGTCCCTACTGTTAAGTCCATCTGTACAGTGGAACATGTTGTTGCTATTATTGTACAACAACTATTTACTCTTAAAATTATTACAACTTCAGAGGTTCTTGATACAGTTATAGTTATTTCTAATATGTAATAAGACACAGTCATGCAAACATGTCTAGCCGAGTTCTCTACTATTTATAGTGCAGGTATAAACTTAAGTGCAGCCAAAATTGTGGACAATTGGTTGTCTTAGTTGAAACAGGGCTCAGCTAACCAACTTGGTGGTGTCCAGATTTGTTTCCTTCACCAACAAAACTGACAAAAATGGGTTTCCTCCTAGTCTGTCAAAGTAAATATGGTGCATTTTTTCACAAACTGTGTGTTATATATGAGCCATAAAGACCATGTGTAAGAAACAGTATTTATTATTATTTTAGCAAATGGTGTAATTACATGAATATGTATGTAATTCATGATAATGTATGCAGTAAGTGAAGATTTGTTTTGAAAGCATTATAAGTTGTTGATTTGAACTGAGAATGTTCCACTTTGTTTTAATTGTTTAGTCCTTTTTTCAAGTATTTATCATGAAATAAATGCTTTACACAACCATGAATTATTTGTTTGAAAATTCTAACTTATATTTTGAATGTATGTGGAACATGTGTTTTGTTTATTTGTGGTTTAACCCCAGAGTCAGCAATATTCCAGCTACATGATGGCGGTCTGTAAATGATGAACAATTTGCTATGCAATGAGGTTACGAGGACGTGTTTCAGCAAGTTAAAGACCAATCCTATTCAGAGCTTCATGGAAGAGGGGCGGTGGGGTAGCCTGATGGTTAAAGCGTTTGCTCGTCACGCCTAAGACCCGGGTTCGATTCCCCACATGGGTACAATGTGTGAAGCCCATTTCTGGTGTCCCCCGCCGTGATATTGCTGGAATATTGCTAAAAGCGGCATAAAACCAAACTCACTCACTCACTCTTCATGGAAGATGGAGCATATGTGGTGAACTGACTTTATGGTAGTGATTTGGAGGGCAGTGATATTAAGCATGTCTCAGTCCTTGCTGCCTGTGGGTACCAGAGCGGTAGAAGCTACCCCACCTGGTCTGTTCGATGTTATGTTGTTGATTCACAGCATCCACTGGCTATTGTGTGAGTGAGTGAGTGAGTTAAAATTTAACGTCACACCAGCAATATTTCAGCCATATCGTGATGAGAACAAAGTTAGTTTTGAAGTGGAATATATGTATATTATAAAAACTGTCGACGAAGGACAGTAAAACAACTAGAATATCACAATTAGAATTAAAACTAGCATGGAAAGTTTAAAACTAATAGCACTATTAGGACAATACAATATCACTGGCTATTGAGGCCAGATTTGGACTTGAGCCGGTTTTACGGCATTCTTAACACATACATCATTTGTACATATTAAAAATTGTATATTTTATCTCTCATATACTATCTCTGACATGTTGTGTGAGAATATTCAAATTGAATTAAGCTGATGTATTTTTTGCATTTAACATTGCTTTTAAGGATTTTGTCTTACGATCCCAATATGCATAATTGTGTCCCATACAAATGTTATTTTGGTGCAGTTGGTCTCAGGTATACTGACCGTTGCCTTGCCATTCCTGTCATAGTAATGTCTGTGCCTGACCTCACTGGTATGTCTGATAGCAGCTGCAACCTCACTGGTTATTGTTAAATAATAATTGAAGATGGGCTTCTGCTTGAGTGGCGAAACCCATTTTGTATTTATCTGAACACGGCGTGTCCGAGACCGGAATTTATCTAGACCATCCATGACTGTTATTTGGGTTTATCCAGTTTATGATGGTCTTTGGCTGCTTTGTCCGTCTGTTACTTGGGTTTATCCAGTTTATGATGGTCTTTGGCTGCTTTGTCCGTCCGTTATTTGGGTTTATCCAGTTTATGATGGTCTTTGTCCGTCTGTTATTTGGGTTTATCCAGTTTATGATGGTCTTTGGCTGCTTTGTCCGTCCGTTATTTGGGTTTATCCAGTTTATGATGGTCTTTGGCTGCTTTGTCCGTCTGTTATTTGGGTTTATCCAGTTTATGATGGTCTTTGGCTGCTTTGTCCGTCCGTTATTTGGGTTATCCAGTTTATGATGGTCTTTGGCTGCTTTGTCCGTCCTGTTATTTGGGTTTATCCAGTTTATGATGGTCTTTGTCCGTTTGTTATTTGGGTTTATCCAGTTTATGATGGTCTTTGGCTGCTTTGTCCGTCCGTTATTTGGGTTTATCCAGTTTATGATGGTCTTTGGCTGCTTTGTCCGTCTGTTATTTGGGTTTATCCAGTTTATGATGGTCTTTGGCTGCTTTGTCCGTCTGTTATTTGGGTTTATCCAGTTTATGATGGTCTTTGGCTGCTTTGTCCGTCTGTTATTTGGGTTTATCCAGTTTATGATGGTCTTTGGCTGCTTTGTCCGTCTGTTATTTGGGTTTATCCAGTTTATGATGGTCTTTGGCTGCTTTGTCCGTCCGCGAACATCATCTCTTTGGGATGTTTCAGAGGACTTGAAAGCCAATCCAGTGTCCATACCCTTCTCATCATACATGGTCGGTGGGTCATCGTATCCCAATTGTGTAGGTCGATGCTCATGCTATTGATCACTAGATTTCTGGTCGATTATGTTCAGATAGCTGCCATATAACTGGAATATTGATGAGTGTGGTGTTACACAACAAACATTATCAGTGATGACATGGGCAAGATGTGATGGGCATTGTCATCGTGCAATTCAAAATTTCTGTGGATAATTCCAGCAATTGGAGACCGCCTCCGTGGTGTAGTGGTTAGAGCATCCGCCCGGAGAGCGGAAGGTCCCGGGTTCGATCCCCGACCACGTCATGCCAAAAGACGTTAAAATATGGTACGTGTTGGTCCCTGTCTGGCGCTCGGCATTAATGGGTACAATAAGGACTGGTCGGCTCGGAGTCATTATAATGTGTCTGAGTGGGGTATTCATGCTTCACTGCGGCATGGTATCTCAGTGGGCTAGCACTATAAAACCAGCTAAAGTCTGGGCTAGTACAAGCAGCAGCACATACCAATACACAGGTCGTCATATGAGCGAAATAGGACCTTAAACCCAATTTCACCCCACCACCTCCAGCAATTGGAACAATGGTATGATGCTGAATTTCAGCAACATATCGCTGGTAAGTCAAATGACCTTTGAAACTACCCCACACACAGCATTACATGGTTGAGGGAAATGTTGCTTCAGCAGTGCTGGTGTTGCTACATCGCCAACAACATTTTCTGCCATCTGTGAATAGGAGCTAAGGGACCGTTTTGGCTTAATTTTATGCCTAAAAATTATGGGGATGGGGTTCACTTACTTTGAACATAAATTTGTACATTTGTGCTTCCCCATAAAAAATCAGCATCACTTTCCCAGCCATAGATTATGCACAGACGGTCCCTAAAATCCCAATGATGTAACACAACAGGCACACATCAAGTCCCTGGATTTGCGAAAAACGTCCCGATCCTTGTTGCCTCTGGTAAAAGGGACCGATAATAATTTATGGCTATGGGGGATGATGATGATCTGTATGCAGAAGCATGTACAATGTGAATGACACCCTCCCTAATATTTATTTACGTACAAATTAAGTAACCTTCCCTTCCATATCATCTACAAAATCAATGATCTCACCCCGCCTCCCAATATTTTTTAAGCAGTGTTTAATATTTGTATGTACAAAATTGCTGACCACCCCTACCTCCACAGCACAAAATGGTTAAAATCATCACCTCCTCCCTCCCCCATTCATGGGACGCCTTGCTGTTAAACTAACATCTTGCTTGACTCTGAAATGAACATATTTTACAGAAAATGTTTACTAGAAATATAACAAAAAGGAGCGCAGAGACCTCCTTTATTTTCAAAATGTGATAGATCTTGCGCACAGGTGCAACGCCACGATATATTGTAAACGTGCATTTCAACGATAGCTGCATTAAAACAACAGTTCTCTCATCTATTGTTTGTTAGGACATTGATCTCCCAAGTGGATAGCTGTGTCATAAGTACCCCAAATTTGTTATTTTAGGACTTGTTAGAAACATTTAGTTTGAACATGGGTATGGATTCGTTCGGTTAAATCAGGGTGTTAGAAACCGGCCCATGTTTCTAGTTTCCTTCGCTCAACATGCATCGCGTCAAGCTTAGCTTTGTACTCTACAATGTAAATTTAAGAGTTTTATGAGGTGTAAATATGTGAAATTTGATGTAGATTTACAACCAGAATAACATCCAGGAAATATTGTCAGCTGTTTAATAAATGCTGAAGTGCAATTATGTTTTGAAACTACGCTACGCTCCGTGTAATACCACATGTATGAAACGAGTAAATGGTTTGGTACCTAACGACCGAAAGCGAGTTAGATACCAATACCGTTGACGAGTTTTAACATGAACCCGGATGGTTTTATGACCTGTTATTCTGAACGAATGAATTTGAATATGCCTCATTGCTCGTCCTGAAAGACTATCACGTGTGGTGGCTCTTTAATAATCCAGATGCATTTCAGAAATAGAGCCACAAAACGTTCAATAAAATACGAATTTTGTCCATTGTATGCTTCTAATTATATCGTGAGGAAGTATTTATGAATGGCTATCATATATACTCAACAAAGTAGAGTGAGTGAGTTAGTTTGGTTTTACGAAGCTTTTAGCAATATTCCAGCAATATAGGGGAGCAGATAAATGTAACAATTGTTCACTTATGGAAACAAGCATCGAAATTGGAACACACACTCCTGGGGATATCTCTTTTGATAAAACCCGTTAGCCATTTTGTCATTTTTAAAGATGGCCGCCAGTTGATATACACAAATATTGCATTTCACAATAAAGTCGCAAAGATTTGTCGTATTTGAATGATAGTGTCAAATCATATCAAGGCGGGGCGGTGGGGTAGCCTAGTGGTTAAAGCGTTGGCTCGTCACGCCGAAGACCCGGGTTCGAATCCCCACATGGGTACAATGTGTGAAGCCCATTTCTGGTGTCCCCCGCCGTGATGTTGCTGGAATATTGCTAAAAGAGGCGTAAAACCAAACTCAGTCACTCAGTCATATCAAGGCAGGTGACACAAGGGATGGGCTTCACACGTGCCAGGGTCGCCCTGTGTGACGTCACACGGAGATGACGTACACGATTCTGACGCGCAACTTCTTACGTAAAGCCGGCGTTGATGTCATGTACTGGTTTTTCCGTTCGCTGAGATTTGGAATGATTTGGTTTGGTTTGTTGGTTTACGCTGCACTCATCAATATTCCATCTACATTCCCTCTGTAAATAATCGAGTCTGGACCAGACAATCCAGTGATCAACAGCATGTGCATCAATCTAGGCATTTGTCAACCAAGTCAGCGAGCCAGACCACCCGATCCCGTTAGTCGCCTCTTACGACAAGCATGGGTGAGTGAGTTACTGAAGACAATTCTAACCCGGATCTTCAAGGGTCGATTTGGAATGAGTTGGGAAGACGAGTGCGAATAGATCACGGAACGTCATACCCAGCTAATTTAACACAGCACACACTGTGTCAAGTTAATATTTTGG